TGCTTATAAGCTAATTTTCATAAGCTCAGACAAACACCCCCTTAGTGATTTGTATAGATAAGTTTGCTGGTCAACTCCAGTTAAGTTTACTTGAGTTAGCTTGTACAGTTAGTTGGGTTAGTTGAAATTAGTTTATTGTAAGGGTTAGTTGAAATTAGTTTATTACAAACCGGTGTTTGAATTATATAATATTTTATTATAGAGATATATTATATTAACGGAAAGAAATATCACCTTAAAGATTATTGAAAATATTTAAAAAAATGTATTTGGATGGTTTGAATAAATTGATGAATGATATGTTTGGTTGAGAGGATAAATTGATAGGTATATTATATAGATTACTAAATCGTCCTTCTTTTTTAATATTAATATAATAGTATTTTTTATTATTATTTTTTGAATCATTTCTTTTAACCTTTTTAAATATTAATATAATAGTATTTTTTATTATTATTTTTTAAATCATTTCTTTTAACTCTTTTGCATTTAAAATGTTACTAAAACACTTCAACCATATAAAACTTTAATTTATAGCTAAATCACTCCCAAGCCACTGTCGACAACCAACCACCACCACTGACAATCGACAGAATGGTACACGACTAGTCATATATGCCCCGTCGTGTGCCGTTTCATGCACACACCACACATGAATTCAGCTCTTAAAGTGGTGAAGTACATAAAGTCATCTCCAAGATTAGGCTTGTTATTTCCAATAGAAAATGACATGAAATTGACAGCTTTTTATGATTATGATTGGGCATCTTGCCTAATGACAAGAAAGTCAGTGACAGGATATTGTGTTGTCCTTGGAAAATCCTTAATCTCATGGAAATCTAAGAGGCATGCCACAATTTCTAAATCATCTTCAGAGACAAAGTATAGGGCAATGGCTTCAACTGTGTGTGAACTCCTTTTGTTGGTGCAACTATTCTCAGAACTTGTTTTTGCTAAGTCTAAATTGTTGCCTATTCCTCTTTATTGTGACAACCAAATTGTCAATCATATTGTCTCTAATCTCATCTTCCATGAAAGAACAAAACATATTAATATTGACAGTCATATTATAAGAGATCAGCTCAAGCTTGGCTTCATCACAACTGCTTACATCCCTTTTATAGAGCAACTAGCAGATTTATTGCAGTAGTTGGGGGTTTTAGACCTTTATCACCCACCAATTGAAGGGGGATGTTAAGGAATTGATTTGTATATACTGTACAATGGTATTGTTAGTTACAGTGTAGTCAATTAGTCAGTGATTTGTATAGTTAAGTTTATTCGAGTTAGCTTGTACAGGTAGTTGGGTTAGTTGGAATTAGTTAATAATTAATTAATACAGAAAAGTTTTTTCCCCAGATTCATTCCCTTTCTTCATCGATTACATCTTCTTCAACAATATATATATATATGGTTCCACCTAACACATGCAATTTCAACTAAATTACATTAGTTATTGAATATACATGATAAGAGAATTTTGAGTGGGACCAAAATCCAAACTACAAGCTCATTGAAATGTACTCACTTAGATAATGTGATAATATATATATATATTAAATGTCCATATCAATTTGCCCATACGACCTTCTACTTAAATCTTAGGATCAGAGGATTTGAACTTGACTTGAGACCGTACACCTTAACTACACATCTTAGCACTCGTCCTACTACTTAGTTATCCAAGAGTGGGTCATGTGATAATATTATTTTGACCTGTAAATGATATGATAAAAGTAAATCTCTTGTATTCATTGAATTATTTCAAACAATAAATATTATCTCACAAACTCTCTTTTACAACCTTTATGTGTTAGCTCTCAATTTTTTATTGATGAATTTTGAATTTTAAGAAATTCATTGGCAAAAAAAAGGGAGCTACCACCTAGGGGTTATAAAAGAAAATTTACGAGATTAGATTATAAGTACAATATTACCCTTACTCGAAAACACTGCTTCTAATAGCAGAAGATTGGTAATTTAGTAAAACCGTTGTAGTCTGTCCAGTACTATAATCAAACAGTGTTATTTATTTTTGAAGTGGTTTACTGTACCTGAGCTGGCCATAATTTTCATGAATTCCCACGGTTTCCCATTGGACTACAATATAATATGGGATCCACCGAAACACCATCTGGGCCCAGATTAGTCAATATGGTCCATTGACCACTGAGTTGGCTGCTTACAAAGCGATGGCCGATGCCATTCATTTGAATTTGTGGCCAACGGGTGTGTACTGTCTTATGTCATAAAATGAATGAATGGACATAAAAATGAACTCATTCAATGTTCAACAAATTAAATGAATGATGTATTTAATTCATAAAATGACTGAATGGACATAAAAATGAACTCATTCAATGTTCAACGAATTAAATGAATGATGTATTAATTAAAGAGTGGTGACACATAAGATTGTATGAAAAAAGTTTGTACAAAAAGTTTATATAATAATGTTATTAATTGATTATCTTTAAAAGGAAAAGTTTAACTATTAGTTAAATGAGTTATATTGATGTCCATTTGGAACTTTATTGGACTATCATTTAAGAATAATACTATATATATATCATTTCCATACAATATTATGTTACAAAATATGATTGAGTGAAAGTTTGATTTTAACTTTAAATTAGCCAATCATATCTTACCATATAATGTTGTATGAGAAATATTGTATGGGAATAATGTATGTATAGTATTATTTATCATTTAATATGTGTACTTGTTTTCTGGCCAAGATAAATCGAGTATGTTCTGACTAAAGAATTATCGTATTTTTTCATTGTTACGATTTTAGATTGAATAAACATTATTTAATAGACTAGTTTTTTTTTTTAATCATCGGTAAGCATCAAATTTATCACAAGTGCTTTCTAAGTAGACCTAAGGTGAGTTGACCTCGTGATACTATAATTTGATGTATTTAATTTAATAAATCAAAGACCATTTCTCCTTATATTAATAAAACGGGATGAAACTTGCACAATTCCACTAGAGTAAACGACTTTTTCCCATCTAAGATTTGCCTTAATGACACTTTTCCACCTAAAAAGTTTTGAAATACCGATTTTTTATCTAAAGTTAATATTTTATTATTATACAAAGCCAATTATGACAATAAAAATTCGTTTCATAATCATCATTTGAATCTCCAGTCTCTTCTCTATAAAATCCCTCTCATTCTAGCACTTAATTTCTCACCTATTATCAGCCACGATAAAATTAGAGTTTCTTATTTTTAGCTGATTTATTGCTGATTCTGATAACAAATATTTAATCGGTCACTACCATTAAAAATTTAAAAATTCACTGGCCTCTACTCTACAAAACTCCTCTTATCCTAGTTCCTGGTAACTCGTTAAATACCAACTGAGAAAATGAAGTGTATTTTGGGTATTAATGGAATATAAACTTTGGGTGAAAAAATAATATTTTAAAATTTTTTGGGTGAAAAGTATAATTAAGTCGAACCTTGGGTGGGAAAAGTTCGTTTACTCATTCCACTGGTACCAATTTTGAGAGGGAGAGATTGAAGTACATATAATGTATTAAAGAAGTGTATTAAATGGTGTGTAGGATGATTAAATTCTTTGAAACCAAGCGGACCCTTATATTAAAAAGCAAGATTAAATAAACATTACCTCGTTGAAGCATTCACATGGAGTGTATGAGGATTGTAAAATTTTATGGGTTTGTTATTTCTTTAGGGTTTGTTTGGGAGTTTGTTTTCTACTGGTTTTGAGGTGTTTTAAAATCATTACTTGCCAAATTTTTTATGCACTAGTTTTGATTAACTCAAAAACCCTCTAAAACCAGTGTAGTATATTTTTGAGAGGTTTATAAAACACCCCAAATCAGGATGTTTTGGCTGGTTTTAAAATTTTATTCCACAAATACCTTATTCATTATAAAACTATCCCAATTATATCTAAAAACAAAAAAAAAAAAAAATTAACCACATTATGACTTCTTCAACCATATTAAATATAAAATAATTTTAAGCAATCATAAAAAAAAAAAATTATTACAATTTTTCAATCATTCAAGATTCTGCAAAGAATGGTGAAGAAGGATAAGAAGACTTTATCATATTTAAAGTTATAAAATACTAATAAGTAGAAAACAAATAAAGAACTCTTGCCTTATAATTGAAAAAACCAAAACTCCCAAGTACTGATTAGAGTTAAGAGAATTTTTATGAACATATATGTAAATTTATCATTTTAAAAAACTGTTAGAACCGTTAGAAAATAAACTTTCAAACACAGATTGAGTATTTTAAAAATTGTTACTAAAAACCCCTCTAAACTGCTATAATGATATGATTTATCCTAAAAACCGCTAAAGTGATTTGGCACATAATCTACACGGCACCTTAATTATCTTTGCTGGATCTGGTGGGATCAGGCATCAGGTGTTAAAGCACTTTTATACTTTTAATTAGTTTGAGTTTCTTATCTAATAATTAGTAATGGTAATCAGGTGTCAAGCACTAACCAATTGCTGATTCCAGGTGCCGAGGCTAACCCAACACACAATCCAAAAGCTGCCACTTTTGAGCATTGTTTAATTTGGATTTCCCACGCCTCGATGCACCGCCACTTCCTTTCCATGCAAGCATGCCTGCAACTTAAATTATAGGCGTTCATTTTCCCAACTGAATTGACGCAGGCAGGCTGCCGTTTGGTTTGCAAATCAAGTAAACCATCCCAACCTTTATAAACGAGTCCTCTAATTGGATGGTCCACAAAAACATACCCGAATTATTCGTTAGGTTAAGTACAACGGGACCATGGTGATGCCACTTTGTCTCTCTCTCCAGTAAAAAAGGTAAAAAGCACAATGAAACCCAGACAATTTCCATCAAGTAACCATGAAAACATACTCTCAATTGATAAACAAGAAGAATCCATTCACATAAAACTCAGAAAATTGATAAAAATAAAAGAAAACACCATATACTCATTAATAACTGAGTAAATATTGCTAAAACCCTAATCATTTCTGTATAATACGAAACCATATCTTAGTCTAGCAGGGATTTTCTAAAGCATTGAAGAAGTCAGAGTCAAGTTTCGCTCTGCAAACAGGACACGCCGAGTGCCTTGAAAGCCAAGCATCAGCACACTGCAAATGAAACCCGTGATTGCAACCGGGAACAAGTCTAACCGGTTGTTCACTCTCGATCTCGTCCAGACAGACCGCACAATCTGTCCCCATAACCAAATCTTTCCCGGTAACCTTAGGCAACTTCTCAAGTTCAGACGCTGACAAACCCAGTACCGTCACGGGCTTAACCGGTAACGGCGGATCAGGTTGGTTAAGGCTGCTAACGTACCACAAGAGGCAGATGTAGACAATGAAAATTCCACTCATGCCCAAACAGGGTAAAAAAAGAGCCAACAAAACTGAAGCCAGCATGTCGTTGTGATCGTTGTTGGTGATGGTGGCGGAAGAACTATTAAGGAGGGTGCTGGATAAAGAGACGGAATTGGTTGTGGTGCGTAATGGACAACATAGCGCATACTAGTTGTAATTGATTACTATTTTGTGAAACTGTTGAAGGAGAATGATTGGATTTTTTGGTTTTGGTTTTGGTTTTGGTGAGAAGAGATGAGATGGGGTTATATATGGTTAAACTTTTTCAGTGGGCTTTATGTGACATGTATCTGTAATTGGTTGTTTGGATTACTTTGGAGTTTAGCGGAAGGTAACGGCTGAATGGGAAAAGGATACAAAAGATTTTTAGCGGTGAGGATGGCAGTGATGCAGTTTCGTGAGTGAGAATAAAGTATGACATAGCATAATTTTCTTTTTACTGACCAATTAAGACTCTCAAGTCTTAACAGGTTTCCCAGATGGAGCTGTGGGCCGTCACCTGGAATATTAATTTATGGTTTTAACCATTTTTAGGAGAGGATGTATGCAGGAGTTTCCAACTCAAGTTTTCATCCATTGATTTCAATTATTTATGACCCTTCATTTTGAGGACAATAATTATGTCAATCCAAAGTGGAGGTGGACCCTTTCAATCTAATGAACCTCACTACTTGATTGATCACTAAAACAAAATCTTAGTTGATTTTAATTTTTTATGGGATGCTAAAACCATGCTGTAAATACAAGGATAATATCCCATTATTCTAAAATTCTTTATAGTGAAAGATGACCACTGCTTTTTGTAACTGAACGCTGAACATATATACCTACTTTATCGAAGATTTTCTATGTAACATTTGATTTATATTAGTCTTTTCGGAGTCTACATGAATCTACACCGATCCTCTAAATTACATCAATCTACACAAACTCTTCCAACAGTCAGCATCATATAAAGTTATAGATTATGCAACTATGAGAGAGAATAGTCTAGCAAAATATAACTGCCTCACACTGAAGAAGCTTTAGTTTTGTTCTGATCTTTAGTCACCGAGAAGAATATAATCTTACATTGAGTGATAAGGTTTCTCCGACACATTGCAAATAAGCAATTAAATCAACATAGTCAAGAGACGCCTGTGAATAACAGAATAAGCATAACCATAACTGTTGTAACTCTTACAAAATATAATCAGCCTGCAATCTAGCAATTAACAAATGATGTGACCAAGCTCTAAACATAAGTAGTTAATTAGATTAAAGGTAAATACGTTATAGGTGCCACTTCCCCAAATTAGCTCAAAATCTGGGAGGGTTAGGCACTTGGAAAATGTATATTTTCTCGTGTATGGATAAATGAACTTACAAATATAAAATAATAATCCTAAAATATACCGCATACTGAAATAAGAAGCTAATGCAAGAGATTTGGCCTAATCATCTACCCAAGACCAAAGCATGGAGGCAAACCCTCTCTATTTCAGAGACCAGCTTCAAGATTTTTCCATGACAGAAAGTTGAAGTTCTAGGCTGAAGCAGAGACATATCTGTGTTCTTTGTCCCTCCATACATGTATGTGCTTCGCACGTCTGGATCTACGACAGAAATTGCAAACCAGCTACTGAGAGTACAAACAATACAAGAGGCAAAACTTCTATAATGGAATTACAGCAGTACGATTTAAAAGACAGTAACAAGTATAACAGAGCAAACCAAGTTCAAGGAAATATTTGTCTATCGAGTTCAACTCAGCCTGAACTGCACACAAGAATTTCTAAATAGACTACAGAGAATACTAAAGTGTCCTACTGGATTCTTTTTCTTTTTGTCCTGTATTTTTAAGTATCAAACATACTTGTCTACTGTACCTAAACCCTTGAAGATTATATTGTTTATACTATTATAGTATAATTTGGAAGAGCCAAGCCCTCCTCATAAGGCAGAACATTTTTTGTGTTTAATTAAAAAACTTCATTGTTATCTTTTTAAAGGAAAAAAAAATTCTATGCTAGGCAAAGTATAGGCTGATGAAAAAAGTGATACAGTGAGAACATAAAATTCCATGTAACTGATACTACACGTCATAGTTGGGAAAACAGGCTAATAGCTTAGCTAAATAATTTATATACCATGCTGATGAGTGCGTCCAGTTTCTGTTCTCCACTCCACCAATACAGAAGCGCCACAAGCAAAGAATTTTAGTCACTTTGAACTTGATAAAGGTTCAGCCAACATGCATCAGAACCTGGGAAATGAATTTAGTATTTTATCAGATGCCAAAAAAACAGAAGATTCTCACTAAAATGGATTTGAATCAAACATATAAAACTGCTTTCAAAACACTTAGCATTTAGAAAATATTCTTATGATCATGTACAGCGTCAGCATACAACCCAGATAAGGTAAGTGTGGATCGATGTAGTAAGCTTTGGCCATCCTGTCTTCTTTCCTGCAAAATCCAAACATCTGCTACAAAAGTTGCAGTATATAAGCTCTGAACAATCATTCAGCTCTGCCCAAAGGACTCAATTCCACAAATTCACTTCCTCCTTTTCAAAAGTGAATGAGTGATGCCGAATTTGTGAGTCAGCCGTAAACAATTGGTATAATCTCGAAACAACCATTCATCTAACAAGTCTAAGTATACTAAATTAATCCTAATGCTACTAGAACAAGAAATAAGAAAATCCTAATATTATTAGAACAACGAATTATAAAAAAAGAAAGTAAAGCTTAACTAAATTCGAACTTTCTAAATAAACTAAACTCCAAAATAAAATAGAAATCTACTTAAATTCCTAAAATGAAACCCTAAATAAATAAGAAAATCACATAAAGAAAGGGAAATAAAAACAAATCATAATTTAACATTATTTTTCCTACATCACCAAAGGACTCATTAGCAAAAATTCACTTCCTCCTTCTCAAGAGTGAGTGAATGAGTGATGCTAGATTTGTGATTAAGGAGGGATTATAGGAGAACAAGGACATTTTCCATGGACGCCCACACTTTCCGTAAATATCAATAAGTGAACTACTGAAGCACTTGCTCTCCAATAAACCCACCTTAACCACAAAACCATGAATCTGAATCCCAAGTTTGGGATTCTCCAAGTCGCCCACAGCGGAAAGAACACTAGAAACACTGTACTCATCAGGCGTAATCCTTCAAAATGCATCCTTTGAAACAAAAGAACCGCCTGTTCATAATGTCCACTGTGATTAAACGCTACAATCATACCATTCCAAGTAAACTCATCGGGTTCCACTCTTGAAAGACCCATGTCGTTAAAGTGTTTTTTCGCTACATCCACACACCCGTGTCGCGCGAAAGCCGCAAGCAGAACACTAAAAAATTTCACGCCAGGTTGGGCTAATCTATCAAACACTTTGTGAGCGTCCCCAATGTTCTGACATTTAACGAACATATGAACCAAAGAAGTCTGAACAAACGGATCTAAATTAAACCCCAATACAAACACCATTGCCAGGCAACAAGTAAGTATTAGGTGCCAGACCGTGAGAGAGCATTTGAGCGAATACACGGAAAGATTGAGTAAAAAGATTTTGTTTCGAGTAGGCGTAGATAATAGTAGAGTAAGAAAACGTTGTCGGCTCAAGAGAAGAAGAAAGGATTTGGTTTGCATCATCGAAGTCTTGGTGATTTGCATATTGAGACGGAAGCTTTGTTGCGAGATCCGTGTCATTAGAGACGCCGGTTTTGAGAATGTGAGCAGCGCTTGCTGCGTCTGTGATAGAGAAAATTTGAGTGACTTGAGGTTGTAAAAGATTGGGCGTTGAATGTTTTCAAAGTGAGGAAGTGCTTGTTTCGTCAAGTTTATGATACGTTAACCCTAATTTTTCAGGCGCATATTAACATTATATCAGAGGGCTCTGATTTGTTCACGCAATAGTAAGTTAAGTTAGCTTCAAAAGGCAAGAAAACACAAAACGGTACCGTACAATTGAGTTAATTAAATAAATAAATAAAAACCTTCTTTCTCGCCCACCATTTCAGGCAATTTTCAGCGAAGAGAAATAAAGAGAAAAGAGGGCAAAAAATATGCAGAAAGTACGTTGTGCAACTCTTATATTACAGTCAACTTTGGCATTGTTTTTCGTTCTGAATAATTTATCTAAATGGAGCGTTCAAACCTAGCCGACAAAGTATGATGGTTTTGTGTATAAGAGTCAGCTAGTTGACTCGGACACCATCATGTCTACGACTCGCTGTTCAGACATCAGTTAAGAGAAGTTTAAATGTAACTAAACAATAACTGGAAATTGATAAGAACTAAAAAATTGCAGGTCGCACAACGCATGCTGCAGCGAACTTTTCTTTCACTGCAACAAACTTCGATCGTCGCGGCAACCATTTCCATCGCCGTGGCGATGGGTTCTCTGATTTGTTTTTCAGAGAAATTCATCTTCACTTCTACCAAACCAAAAGATTCATACTTCAACACTCGGGTCTGTCCCAAAAGCAAAGACGTGTAACCATCTCTCAAACAAGTCCTTGAACACTACAGCCTGTATGTTTCCCTCGTCGTTCATCACTTGCCTTTGTCGTCGGTATCTCTTTTCTCATTTCTTATTTTTTTTTTCTTGTTATAAAATCTTTCAATTTCAAGATGCCTCGTTTAATTTTTGCAGTTTGATCATCTAGATAAGAAGTTTACAAATTTTGCATGATTTCAATATTGATCTTAGTGGGAGGAGAAACTCAAAAAGCGTAGGATTTCAGTCTGGTTTCTCTTCGAATGAGCTAATTGATGAATGCGTCCAGTAATTTATATACTGACATTTGAGTGATAAGGTTTCGCCAACACATTTCAAATAAGCAATTAAATCAACATAATCAACAAAGGCCTGTGAATAACCCATAACTGTTGTAAATCTTATAAAAAATATAATCAGCCTGCAAAATCTAGCAATTAACAAATGATGTGACCAACTCTAAACATAAGTAGTTAATTAGATTGAAAATAAATACATTTTAGGAGCCAATTCCCCATATTAGCTCAAAATCTGTGCAAAATCTAGAGGGGTTAGGCACGGGAAAAATGTTTATTTTCTCCTGTGTGTAGATGAATGAACTTACAAATATAAAATAATAATCATAAAATATACCGAATACTGAAATAAGAAGCTAATGCAAGAGATTTAGCCTAATCATCTATGCAAGACTCAAGCATAGAGGCAAAGCCTCTCTATTTCAGAGACCAGCTTCAAGATTTTTCCATGAAAGAAAGGTGAAGTTCTGGGCTGTAGCAGAGACATTTCAGTGTTCTTCGTCCCTCCCTCCATACGTGCATGTGCATGGATCTACAACAGAAAATGCAAACCAGATACTGAAAGTACAAACAATACAAGAGTCAAAACTTTTATAATGGAATAACAGCAGTATGATTTATAAGACAGTAACAATTATAACAGAGCAAACCAAGTTCATGGCACTATTTTTCTATCAAGTTCAACTCAGCCTGAACTGCACAAAAGAATTTCTACTCAAGTGTCCTACTGGATTCTTTTTCTTATTGTCCTGTACTTTTAGGTATCAAACAAACTTGTCAACTCTGCCTAATGCCTTGAAGATTATACTGTTTATACTATTATAATATAATTTGGAAGAGCTAAGCCGGTAAACCCTCCTCATAAGGCAGAACATTTTTTTTTTTTAATTAAGAAAATTCATTGTTACCTTTTTAATTGAAAAAAAGTCTATGCTAGGCGAAGTATAGGCTGATGAAAAAAGTGATACAGTGAGAACATAAAATTCCATTTAACTGATCTGATACTACTTGTCATAATTGGGAAAACAGGCTGAATAATTTATATACTATACAGTACCTGATGTGTACGTCCAGTTTCTGTTCTCCACTCCACCAATACAGACAGACCGCAAACAAAGAATTTTAGTTACTTTGAACTTGATAAAGGCTCAACCAACATGCATCAGACCCTGGGAAATGCTTTACATTCATTGACTTGCATGTACACATATCTCTCAAGAGTATTTAGTATTTTATCAGATGCCAAAGAAACAGAAGATTCTCACTAAAATGGATTTGAATCAAACATATAAAACTGCTTTCAAAGCACTTGCATTCAAAAAATACTCTTATGATTGTGTACAGCGTCAGCAAACAACCCAGATATGGCAAGTGTAGGTCAATGTAGCAAACTTCGGACATCCAGTTTTCTTTTGTGGCAAAATCCAAACATCTGCTACCAAAGTTGCAGTATACAGGCTCTGTGATAAATCATTCAGCTCTATCCAAAGGACTCAATTGCACAAATTCACTTCCTCCTTTTCAAGAGTGAATGAGTGATACTAAATTTGTGAGTCAGCCCTAGCATTTTTTCACCAATAATCCCCACAAGAACAAACTCCATCTTTAAAATGGTGGAACCTATTAGTGTCTCTGACAAATATTTCTCTCCTTTCAAAACTGGATATAAATTTTATAACAGCATGACAATCAACGCAGATTCTTAGGTTCTTAATCACTTGAAGAGGAGCTCCTGGTGGAGTATTAAGAAGTCCAAGCACTACAGCCAACTTCTCACTATGCCCACACAAGATCTGCTCCTTATCCTGCTCCTCCACATCTTGCAGCACAAAGTCAGTATGTGGAAGGTAACCTGACTTCTTCATCTCCATGTTTAATTTATTTAACTTCTCCATGATTTGGGCCATTTGAGGATGTGATTCATCTCCGGCAAGAAGCATATGTACTTTGTTTTTGACCTCAATCCAACTACAGCCAGGGCTCTTCCTCAAACCCATAGCTTTCATCCTATCTCTCACCGCATCAACCTTAGTCCACATGCCTTTGGAAGCATATATATTGGACAGAAGGATGTAGTTCCCAGAATTTGTAGGTTCCAGTTCAAAGAGATGTTTAGCAGCAGCCTCACCTAAACTCACATTACTGTGAACCCTACAAGAACTAAGCAAAGCTCCCCAAATACAAGCGTCTGGCTCGAAAGACATTCGCTCAATCATGTTATATGCCTCTTCTAGCCTTCCAACACGACCTAGAAGGGTCACCATGCAAGCATAATGCTCCATCCTTGCTTCAATACCATGCTCTTCACACATGCTATCAAATAATTTGCAGCCTTCATCAGCTAGGCCAGCCTGGCTACAGGCAGATAATACACAAACGAAGCTAATAAAACTAGGCTTTTGTCCACTCCTGTGCATCAAATGAAAAATCTCTATAGCTTCTTTAGCCTTTCCATGCACAGCATATCCACCCATTATAGCGTTCCAACAAGCCAAGTTTTTGGATGGCATCCTATCAAAACAAAGTCGTGACATTTGAATCCTTCCACACTTTGCATACATATCAATTAGGGCCCCAGACACGTAAATACCATCAGATATTCCTCTTCTGATAGAAAAGCAATGAGCTGCCTTCCCGAGCATCAATGCTGCAATACTTCCACAGGCTGATAGCAAGCAAGGTATTGTAACATTGTTTGGCTTCATCCCCGCTGTTTGCATCTCTCTAAAAAGTTCCAATGCCTCAATACCTTTCCCATTTTGTGAGCAACCAGCAATCATTGACGTCCAAGACACAACATTTAATTCCACTCCTTGGCTCTGGAATTGCCTAAAGACCTCCAATGCATTGTCAACAAGACCATTCCTACAGAGACCCGTAACAAAAGCATTGCAAGCACCTACATCCAAATTTTCCATTTCATGAAACACTTTGGACATATTCCACGTACACGCACACTTTCCATACATATCAATAAGTGAACTACTGACGCATTTGTCCTCCAATAAACCCTGCTTGATTACAAAACCATGAATCTGAATCCCAAGTTTGGGATTCTCCCAGTCGCCCACAGCTGGAAGAACACTAGAAACACTATGTTCATCAGGCGTAAATCCTTCAAAATGCATTCTTTGAAACAAAAGAACCGACTCTTCATAATGTCCACTATGATTAAACCCCGAAATCATACCATTCCAAGATACCACATTGGGTTCCACTCTTAATCGAGCCATCTCATTAAAGAGTTTTTTCGCTACATCCACGCACCCTTGTCGCGCGTAAGCCGCAAGCAGAGCACTAAAAGTAACCACATCCGGTTGGGCTAATCTATCAAACACTTTGTGAGCGTCTCCAATGTTCTGACATTTGATGTACATATGAATCAAAGAAGACTGAACAAACGAATCTAAATTAAACCCGCATACAAACACCATTGCATGAACTTGTTTTCCAGTTTCCACTAACGACAATCCACTGCAAGCCTTAAAGATATTAGGCAACACGTGAGCATCAGGTGGCAGACCGTGAGAGAGCATTTGAGCGAATACACGGAGTGATTGAGTAAAAAGATTTTGTTTCGAGTAGGCGTAGATAAGAGTAGAGTAAGAAAAGATTGTCGGCTCAAGAGTAGAAGAAAGGATTTGGTTTGCGTCATCGAAGTCTTGGTGATTTGCATATTGAGACAGAAGCCTTGTGGCGAGATAAGTGTCATTAGAGCCACCGGTTTTGAGGATGTGAGCATGCGCTTGCTGTGTCTGTGACAGAGATGATTTGAGTGAGTTGAGGGTTTGAAAGATTGAGCGTTGAATGTTTTCGAAGAGAGGAAGAGCCTGTTTCGTCAAGTTCATTATACGTTAAGCCTAATTTTTCAAACGCATATGAACATATATGAGAGGGCTCTGATTTGTTCACGCAATGTTAAGTTTGCCTCAAAAGGCAAGAAAATACAAAAGGGTACCGTACAATTAAGGGGAAATTTGCCCTCTTATAAACCGTACAATTAATTTATAAGTAAGTTAGGCTTGTAAGAAAAAAAAAACTAGAATGATGAAAAATATATGCATTATAAGTTAGTTGATCAAATATATTACTATATTATCCTTATTTAATTTTAAAATTCTATATTATACTCTTAGTTTTATATTTTAAACATGACATTTTACTATAATACATTTTTTAGTCATTTTAATAATAAAATATATTTATAAACCATATTTTACCAAATACGTCAATTACTTATTAGTCACTTTAACCAAACATGTAATTGCTTAAAGGGTTATTTGTCTAAGCTTATAAGCTGGTCAAACTAGTTTATAAGCTCTGAAATTAAGTTGACATGTTTGTTTATAACTTTTTTGAGCTTATAAACCACAAAAAATAAGTTGAGAGAGGTACTTTTTTTTTTTTCTTATAAACACTCTATTTATAAACTAGTTTGACCAAGTATATTACCATATTATCCTTGTTGAATTTTAAAATTTCATAGTATACCCTTGTTTAATGTAATACTATTTTCAGTCATTTTATAATAAAATGTACCCACATTTTATCAAATACGTCAACTACTTATTAGTCACTTATAAGTATTTTAACTAAACATATAATTACTTAAAGTTTTAAATACTTATAAATTAATTTTCATAAGCTCAAACAAACACCCCCTAAAATTTGAATCCTTATAAACTCAATTTAACTTATAATAACTGTTTATAATCTAATTTTTATAAGTTCAAGATAAACACCCTAAGTTGACTAAATANGTAAGAAAAGATTGTCGGCTCAAGAGTAGAAGAAAGGATTTGGTTTGCGTCATCGAAGTCTTGGTGATTTGCATATTGAGACAGAAGCCTTGTGGCGAGATAAGTGTCATTAGAGCCACCGGTTTTGAGGATTTGAGCATGCGCTTGCTGTGTCTGTGACAGAGATGATTTGAGTGAGTTGAGGGTTTGAAAGATTGAGCGTTGAATGTTTTCGAAGAGAGGAACAGCTTGTTTCGTCGAGTTCATTATACGTTAAGCCTAATTTTTCAAACGCATATAACATATATGAGAGGGCTCTGATTTGTTCACGCAGTGGTAAGTCAAGTTTGCCTCAAAAGGCAAGAAAATACAAAACGGTACCGTTATAAAGTCCTTCAAATTAGTTTATGAATTCTAAAATTAAGTTGAGAGGTTGTATGAAACTTTTATAGGTTTATAAGTAAAAAAAAATAAGGTTGAGGGAAAGTATTTTTTTTTTTATTTATAAGCTAGTTTAACTAAATATATTACTACATTATTTCTATTTAATTTTAAAATTCTATATTATACTTTTATTTTTATATTTCAAACATATTATTTTATTATAATATCTTTTTTAATTATTTTAATAATAAAATATATTTATAAGTCACATTTTATTAAACACATTAATTACTTATTAGTTATTTTAATTAAATACATAACTGTTAAATTTCAAATGCCTGTAACCTCGATTTAGCTTATAATAACTGCCTGAAATTTTTATAAGCTTAGCAGTTAGCACCCCCAAAGTTGACTAAATAAATAAAAGAGAATTTAATGAGGATGTGATTTATTTATTTCTAACTATAAATAAACAATAAATAACACCTTCTTTCTGGCTGACTATCCCAGCGAAGAGAAGTAAGAGAAAAGGGAGCGAAAAATATGCATAAAATAAATGGAGCGTTCAAGCCCAGTACTGCCGCCGGCAAAGTACAATGGTTTTGTGTACAAGAGTCGGCTAGTTGACTCAGACACCATCATGGTCCAAGTGTTATTCAACCCGGTCTTTCCCGATAACAGAGACGCTTGGCCATCTCTGAAGCCTTGAACACTAGCGCCCGCGCGTTTCCGTCATCATCCATCTCTTTGCTTTACGTCAGGATCTCTTTTCTTATTTCTTAATTTTTTTTGCTTTGTTATAAAATATTTCAATTTCATGTTATTTTCAAGTTGCAAACTAGATAATTGTATTTCTCTAATAAAGTTACCTAACTACTCTTAGGAGAGCTTTTTACTTAAAAAATTAAGCTTACAATTGGAGAGCGCTTAATCTCCTGTTCAAAACCTCTAGGCTTGCCCATCTGAGTGCGTTACGCAAAGGTCTTATGTTCGAGTCGAGATTAATTAAAGCGCGTATAAACTAGTCAAAACTCTAGTTATAATAAAAATAGGGTGTTTAATGGACTCCGAAACTAGTTGAGAGAGATACAAACTAGCCCACAAAAGAAACCACTTATCATATTTGTGACTTACCTATTCTATTGGGTTTGTAAGATATTCAATAGACTCTAAGATTAGTTGAGGTGTGAGCAAATTGGTTCGAACACCCTGATTATTAAAAAAGTAAGGTGTTTAATTAACTCTAGTATTAATTAAGGGACACGTAAACTGATTCGATCACCTCAATTATAACAAAAAGTAAAATGTTTAATAGGCCTTAACATCAGTTAAGATGCGCATAAACTTTTCTTTGTGTTAGAGTAGTGATTTTGATTATTGGATAAACAGAAAACATAAACTGTTTAAAAATAAAAATGCTTTTGTGTTTGTTTTGTTATTCCTATCTTACTTTCAACATCAAATCGAGTCGACCCGGCTGGGAAACCTGTTGGACCGGATAAGAAACGGTTGGCGTAGTTTTGAAGCTGAGAGGGGCTATATAAAGCAGGGAAATCCGAGTAACTAGCCTGGGGCATAAAAGAAGAAACAAAGCCGTAGAAGAGGGCTCTTTATCTAGAGCGAAAGAGGTAAGTTACAGATCTAACCTTGCCCTAGTTTCTCTTTTTGCCTTCGATTATCTGCTTCAGCTTCTCGATTTGCGTACTGTTATCTTGTTAAATTTGCCTCAAAAGGCGGGAAACTGCAAAACGGTACCGTACAATTAAGTTATTAAATAAATAAAAGCAAAAAATAATGAGGATGTGGTTAATTTATTTTGAACCATAAATAAATAAATAAAACCTTCTTCCTTGCCCATTCCAGCGAAGATTAGTCAAGAGAAAGGAGAGCAAAAATATGCAGAAAGGAAATGGCGCAACTCTAATATTACAATCGGTTTTGGTATTGTTTTTTGTTCTGAATAATTCATCTGAACGGAGCGTTCAAGCTCAGTCACTGCCGCCAGCAAAGTACGATGGTTTTGTGTATAAGAGTCGGCCAGTTCACTCGGACACCATCATGGTCGAAGCGTTCTTCGACCCCGTCTGTCCTGATAGCAGAGATGCGTGGCCATCTCTCAAACAAGCCCTTGAACACTATAGCCCTCGCGTTTCCCTAGTCGTTCATCTCTTGCCTTTGCCGTCAGTATCTCTTTTCTTATTTCTTATTTTTTATTTGTTATAAAATCTTTCAATTTTATGATGCCTTGTTGAATTTTTGCGGTTCGATCATCTATCTAAAAAGTTATATAATTTGCTTGATTTCAATAATGAGTTGGTGATGAGCTCTAATAATGAAATGTTGTCATTTTTTTTTTTAAAAGAAGTATTTCCTTGTTTTGTATTCTGTATATCAAAATATTGATTTGTGTGGATGGAGAAACTCTGAAAGTGTAGGAGTTCAGTCTGGTTTTTGAATGAGCTAATACTTTTTCCAATTAAGAATTGCAGTTACCACAACAATGCTTTTGCTACTTCTCGTGCTCTGCACATTGTAAACATGCTGAATTCTTCCTCCACTTTCCACTTGTTGGAGGGGTTCTTCAAACATCAGGTTAAGATTCACATCATTAATGTCACATTATTTTCAAGTTGCAAACTAGTTAATTATATTTCTCTAATAAGTACTGAACGATTCAATCTAAAAAGAATTTATAGAAATTGATGTGTACACCTATGATGTTTTTGTTAATTTATATTTTAAATACCATGCACTTTGATATCTGGTCAAGTTTACGTCTAATTTCTTATTTTCACAGTTGATACAGATTTTTATAGTCATTTTTCATAGTGCCATTATTGATTCATTATTTTGAACCTATTTGGGTTGTTATTGATTTGAAGGATTTGTTTCTATAGGGACACTGTTTCTGAATATATTGATACATCCTTTTGCTATTCGAAGTGATACTTGTGCAGCTATGGTGGCTAACTTTGACTTGTGGAAATTGCTTAACAGGAGAGATTTTACAATGCTCCGACATTCAACATGTCAAGGGCGTCTGTTGTGAAGGAAATTGTCAAGTTTGCAGCTGAGGGAGTTGGAAACTCTTATATATCCGCACTTGAGTCTGGCTTTACGAACAGAAAAACTGATCTTTTGACAAGGGTTTCCTTCATGGTAGAAAATCATGTTCTTTTCTGTGCAGCTATGTAATCTATCATTTTCCAGAAAACTTAAATTTTATTAATCGAGGAATGGAAAGATAGATTTAATTTTTTAAGCTAGAAATCTAAAGAATATAGACATCAGCACTTTTCATATATGGTATTAAACTATTAATTGTTTTGCACTCTTATATATGTACCATTCATTCTGGGTCTTTCATCTTGCAGTATAGCACCTCAAGAGGGGTGTCTGGGACGCCTACTTTCTACGTTAATGGATTTGTGCTGCCGGATGCTGGCTCCCCACTAGATTATATTGGATGGAGAAAGGTCATTGATCCATTGGTTAGCACAAAGGCTTCCAAGATGGATGATTTAGTGCCTTTCTTCGGATGATTATTCATTCAGCTGTCCAAGATTCTAAGATAGCTTGTGTTTACTTGGTGTTAGATGACCACAGAGAAAAAAAAACCAGCATGATGAGAGTCTATTCGGCTGGATGTTTTCTCTATTTGTGTGATAATAGCCTCTCAATAATGGTCATGAAACTCTGTTGTTAATATGAAGGTGTTAAATTTGGAAAAGCTACTGTACTAGCATGTGATTAAGCTTTAAAATATGCAATTGGAGTGCGCCTAATCTACTCTTCAAGCGTGTTATATTTGAAAACCATTGTTGAGATTCTATCCCCCACCTCCACTTTTTCTAATTAACAGATATCAGGACATTTTCCTTTATGAAATTACTTTAAGAAGAAAAGGAAAAAGGGTTGACCGCAATATGGGTGTAATAATATTTGTGGATTCAAGTGATACGATGGAAGCAAATATTCTTTCATATAAAACAAATTCAATCTTATCTTTATTGAAAATCGAATAGAAACTCCACGATTGAAGACTCCGTTCTTTGTGTTAGAGAGAGTTGTGATTTTGATTCTTGGACAGACATAAAACATAAATTGTTTAAAAATAAAAAAAATAAAAAACACTTTAAGCTGTGTTTGTTTTGTTATTCATATTTTATCTAAAATGCATATTTATTTCATTATTCTCAAAATCTTATTATATTATATTTAACTATTTTTAAACCTCTTATTTGTTAATTTAGTTAAATATCTCTTATACTAAAACATTAGAAATTAATAAAAACACTCCGTTCACTCATTAAATTCCGATCATCATTGTCATAAATAAATAAATAAAATCTTCTTTCTCAGTCATAGTGGATTTAACTAGAAAATGTCATATTAATGGACGATTGGTCACATTCAGTCGGTTGTATGCCATTATAGTGACTTTCGATCACCTTTTGATGATGGTGACCCGTTGCCAACATTTAATGGGTGAGTGAGAATGTTTTTGTTAATTTTTTTTATTTTATTATACGGATATTTAGCTAAATTAAAAACCTAGGGGTGTTTTAATTCATTTTTAAATTCTCCCTACCCAACTCAACTTTAAAGAAAATGATATTTAAAATAATAACAATCAAACAGAGCCTTACAACATCAAATCGAGTCGACTCGGCTGGGAAACTAGTTGGACCGGATAAAGGAATCGGTTAGCGTAGTTTTTGAAGCTGAGCGTGACTATGTAAAGCAGAGAAATCCGAGTAACTGGCCTGGGGCATAAAAGAAGAAACAAAACCGTACAAGAGGGCTCTTTATCTTGAGCGAAAGAGGTGAGTTACAGATCTAACCTAGCCCTAGTTTCTCTTTTTGCCTTCGATTATCTGCTTCAACTTCTCGATTTGCTTTCTGTTATGTGTTATCTTGTTATATTTGCCTCAAATGGCAGGAAACTGCAAAACGGTACCGCACAATTGAGTTAATTAAATAAATAAAAGCAAAAAATAATGAGGATGTGGTTAATTTATTTTGAACAATAAATAAATAAATAAAACCTTCTTCCTTGCCCATTCCAGCGAAGAGAAGTCGAGAGAAAGGAGAGCAAAAATATGCAGAAAGGAAATCGCGCAACTCTAATATTACAATCGGTTTTGGTATTGTTTTTTGTTCTGAATAATTCATCTGAATGGAGCGTTCAAGCCCAGTCACTGCCGCCAGCAAAGTACGATGGTTTTGTGTACAGGAGTCGGCCAGTTCACTCGGACACCATCATGGTCGAAGCGTTCTTCGACCCCGTCTGTCCTGATAGCAGAGATGCGTGGCCATCTCTCAAACAAGCCCTTGAACACTATGGCCCTCGCGTTTCCCTAGTCGTTCATCTCTTGCCTTTGCCGTCAGTATCTCTTTTCTTATTTCTTATTATTTTTTTTTATTTGTTATAAAATCTTTCGATTTTATGATGCCTTGTTGAATTTTTGCGGTTCGATCATCTATCTAAAAAGTTATAAAATTTGCTTGATTTCAATAATGAGTTGGTGATGAGCTCTAATAATGAAATGTTGTCATTTTTTTTTAAAAGAAGTATTTCCTTGTTTTGTATTCTGTATATTAAAATATTGATTTGTGTGGATGGAGAAACTCTGAAAGTGTAGGAGTTCAGTCTGGTTTTTGAATGAGCTAATACTTTTTCCAATTAAGAATTGCAGTTACCACGACAATGCTTTTGCTACTTCTCGTGCTTTGCACATTGTAAACGTGCTGAATTCTTCCTCCACTTTCCACTTGTTGGAGTGGTTCTTCAAACATCAGGTTAAGATTCACATCATTAATGTCACATTATTTTCAAGTTGCAAACTAGTTAGTTATATTTCTGTAATAAGAACTGAACGATTTAATCTAAAAAGAATTTATAGAAATTGATGTGTACACCTATGATGTTTTTGTTAATTTATATTTTAAATACCATGCACTTTGATATCTGCTCAAGTTTACGCCTAATTTCTCATTTTCACAGTTGATACAGATTTTTATAGTCATTTTTCATAGTGCCATTAATGATTCATTATTTTGAAGCTATTTGGGTTGTTATTGATTTGAAGGATTTGTTTCTAGGGGACACTGTTTCTGAATATATTGATACATCTTTTTGCTATTCGAAGTGATACTTGTGCAGCTATGGTGGCTAACTTTGACTTGTGGAAATTGCTTAACAGGAGAGATTTTACAATGCTCCGACATTCAACATGTCAAGGGCGTCTGTTGTGAAGGAAATTGTCAAGTTTGCAGCTGAGGGAGTTGGAAACTCTTATTTATCTGCACTTAAATCCGGCTTTACGAACAGAAAAACTGATCTTTTGACAAGGGTTTCCTTCAAGGTAGAAAATCGTGTTCTTTTCTGTGTAGCTACGTAATCTATCATTTTCCAGAAAACTTAACCTATATTTTATTAGTTGAGGAATTGAAAGATAGATTTAATTTTTAGCTAGAAATCTAAAGACTATAGACTACAGCACTTTCATATATGGTATTAATTGTTTTGCTCTCTTATATATGTACCATTCATTCTGGGTCTTTCATCTTGCAGTATAGCACCTCAAGAGGGGTGTCTGGGACGCCTACTTTCTACGTTAATGGATTTGTGCTGCCTGATGCTGGCTCCCCACTAGATTATATTGGATGGAGAAAGGTCATTGATCCATTGGTTGGCACAAAGGCTTCCAAGATTGAGGATTTAGGGCATTTCTTCTCATGAGTATTCATTCAGCTGTCCAAGATGCTAAGATAGCTGGTGTTTACTTGGTGTTAGATGACAACAGAGAAAACAAAACCAGCTTGAGAGTGGCTGGATGTTTTTTCTTTTTGTGTGATAATAGCCTCTCAATAATGGTTATGAAACTATGTTGTTAATATGTAGGTGTTAAATTTGGAAAAGCTACTGTACTAGCAATCTAGCATGTGATTAAGCTTTAAATATGCAATTGGAGTGCGCCAAATCTCCTCTTCAAGGGTGTTATATTTGAAAACCATTGTTGAAATTCTATCCCCCACCCCCAATTTTTCTAATTTACAGATGTCAGGACATTTTCCTTTATAAATTTACTTTAAGAAGAAAAGGAAAAAGGGTTGACCGCAATATGGGTGCAATATTATTTGTGGATTCTAAGTGATAGGATGGAAGCAAATATTCTTTTATATAAAACAAATTCAATCTTATCTTTATTGAAAATCGAATAGAAACTCGACGATTGAAGACTCCGTTCTTTGTGTTAGAGAGAGTTGTGATTTTGATTATTGGACGGACATAAAACATAAACTGTTTAAAAATAAAAAATAAAATTTTTTTTTTAAAGACTTTAAATCGAGTCGAACCGGCTGGGAAACCGGTTGGACCGGATAAAGGAGTCGGTTAGGGTAGTTTTAGTATCCGAGCGTGGCTATATAAAGCAGAGAAATTGCAGTAACCGGCTTGGGGCATAATAGAAGAAACAAAGCCGTACAAGAGGGCTGTTTATCTTGAGCGAAAGAGGTGAGTTACAGATCTATCCTAACCCTAGTTTCTCTTTTTGCCTCCGATTTTCTACTTCAACTTCTCGATTTGCGTACTGTTGTCTTGTTTTTAAAATTCTTGAAATTTTTTTTACTTATTTTCTTCTCTCGGTTCGCACTTTTCTTATGTTGCCTTGTTATTAAATTTATACGTGTTTTGCTCATGTGATTTTGGAGGGTATTCTTTTGGTTTTTGGTTTTTTTTTTTTTTTTTCTTTGGTATTTTGATTTTTCTTTTCTGGGTTGGAAAAAGGATGGATCGGTACCAGAGAGTAGAGAAGCCAAAAGCAGAGACTCCAATTGACGAAAATGAGATTCGAATTACTAGCCAAGGGAGGATGCGCAGCTATATCACTTATGCTATGACTCTACTTCAAGTATTTTTCTTTTCTCTTTTGCATATTTTTTTTTTTTGGGCTGATTTTTTGTATATCTCACAATTAAAAGTGTATAAACCTGGACTAGATGGAGGCATGAAGTCTCTAGAGTTTAGGAAATTTAACTTGTAGAATACAATATTTAAGAGCTGGTTGAATTAGGGTTTCAACTGCATTTATTTTCAGTTGATGATTATGGTGAAGTTCGTTAGATACTCTATGGTTAGGTATTTGTATGAGTGGAGAACAGCATACCAGAAGCTTCAGGAGAGGTAAATGTTAAAGGGAAATTTTTGGGATCTATCTTTATTATGGAATAGCGGCTGTGCTATTATGCATTGTGTTCATTCCTTGCTTTACTATGTGGTAAAGGAGGAATGAAGTAAATTCGTGTCTATTAGGGAATTTCATCATATCCAATTTAATGAGGTGCAATGACTTTATGTCACTTGTAGTAAGTAATATGGCCATGTAGTTGAGGTGAAAAAAAAAATTGTCATTCGTTTATTGTTTTCTACAGCTTTCTTATATCTCTTGTGTATTTGTTTGTAGGAAAAAGGTTCAAATGAAGTTGTATTCAAGGCAATGGGAAGGGCTATCAATAAAACTGTGACCATAGTGGAGTTAATTAAGGTATATTTTATCTTTTGCCCCTTTGCTTGTCAGTGGTAAGCCAGATCATTTGGTTACATTTACTATTCATCATTTGAGGCTGAAAAGTGGTATCTTGTAATGTAATGCAGAGAAGAATTGTTGGTCTTCATCAGAATACAGCTATTGGTTCCACAGACATAACTGATATGTGGGAGCCTCTGGAAGAAGGCCTCCTTCCGTAAGAGCAGCCTTACCTTTATTTAACCATAATTGTTGCATGCCAAATGTGAATTTATTCCTCACGCGTCTTCATTTAATATTATTTTTTTCAACGATCTTAGTTTTCTTTGTCTTGTTATCTTAGTTTGGAAACCACAAGGCATGTGTCAATGATTACAATAACCTTGTCAAAGAAGGAACTGAATACCTCTTCTGTTGGGTAAGAAGTTTATGCTTTTATCTGGTACAATCTGCTTAGCTCATTCAGTACAATTTAATATATGAATGCCGTCACTGACTTTTGTAACTCATGATGAATTGTAATCACTCACTCATGAAATTGCTATCGTCTTCAGGTATCAGCTTCCACTGCCTGCTGAACAGGTCAGGGCATCCACAGAATTTGATTATGATGGAGGTATTGCCACGAGTACTGTACAAATGTAGTATTGCTTTCAAGTGGCCATGTTTTCATATTTTAAAATTTTCTTTCCGTTGCAGAGGGTTCGCCTAGTGGCCGGCGTAGAGGTCGATCAGGCAGAGGAAGGTCAAGAGGAAGAGGTAGATATTCTTTGAAGTTTGATTTGGTTTATACTTTTACCTTTGAATCCTCTCACACATTGGTTAGTGCATACACAAACACAGAAAGGGGGAGACTCATGCACTAGCATTATTCTGATTAAGAGTAGGACCTGATTGTCTTCCCTCCTCTCTCTTACATGGGTAGCCTGCTTGTATTTTGTGGTTTTCTGCTGTTCTGAAAATACAGTAAGAAAACAAATTTAGATGGCTATGAGGATGAGAGCTTCTATACCAAAGACTTCTGGCATAATAGCTAGAATGTGGCTGTTATGGGTTTACCCATTAAAAATGTGGAGGTAGAGCTTGAATATTGGGTTTCTTTCCTTTCTCTGATTGGCTTCATTAGTTATTATAATTGGAAGCAATATCATTCAGACTGGTAAATATTAGGTATGAGATTATTGTTATAGGGATTCTGTATATTAAAACTTTTGTGTAAGTGAATCTGCAATACTCTTATTGTGCTTAGCACGATATTTTTTACTTTGTCAATGGCATAAGTGAGACCTTCACCCCAAACCTTAAATGGCAATACTCTTATTTTGCAGGGAATGGTTTCGTGCCTGTTGAGTATGAAGATGGAGGTTGGGACCGCAACAATCGGGGGTATGCTAGAGGTAGGAATAGAGGGAGAGGACGTAGTTTCCGCGGCCGTGGGAGGGGAGGATACAATGGACCTTATGTTGATGGAAAGCAAGATGGATACTATAATGAAGCACCTGCTCAAGGCAGTGGTATGTCCTTTCTCACTTTTTTGTAGTTTTAGGACTTTCTCAACATTGAAGTGGGTTTGACTGGGCTATTCTTAATCAATTGGTTCTGCAGTGGGACACCCTTGGACCTTAAGTTGATTAGTTACCTAATTTCCCACTATTTATTAATATATTCATGTTGAAGATGTATAAATGCAATTTATTTAGCATTACAAAATTATTAATAGAACTTGAGGCCTAGAAAAACAAGTTTTATATGAATTCTTGTACAACAGGACGTTTAACCTGCCAGAGATGATTATAATTTCTTTAATGGTCTTTTGTTTGAACAGTAAATTCTAATTTTGTCTTAATTCTTAATCCCTGTTCTTCATCATGGCATTTTCTTTCCTTGCTGGCACATAACTTTTATGTTTTGGAGAATGTGCTTCGGATGACAGAACATTAAAGAGAACCAGCTACATTTTTTTTTTTTTTTTTCTCTTAATTGTGCATTTGTGCTGGTATTTGTAATTTGTTGAAATGGGTGTTTTTGCTTTTATGTAGGTCGCGGTCGCGGGAGGGGATACCGTGGAAGAGGTCGTGGCTACAGATCAAATGGACCGATCCAGGCAGCAGCATGAGACTTGGTGATTCTCCCTTGAATGTGATGGAAAGTGGGAGTGTTGCCTTACCTATCTTATGTCTAATTGTCTCTTACATTTTTATCCTATGTCACCAACTGGCAGTGTTAAATGTTAATTTTAGGATATTCATATAGTAGTGTATTTGTAGTTTAAAACCCTTTCACAAGGCAGCCTCTTTTTGTTGTAGATGATGTAGCGGAGATGATGTTTGTATTTGTACAACTCTCAACTTTCTGACTGGGCAGTTATTCTTTGATTTTTCTGTTTGGAGTATTTTGACCTGTTATTTATATAAATGTTAGATTGTATTTTTATCTTTTTTTATCCCTGGAGCTTGGAGGGGTCATATTATTGCCCTGGAAATTGAGAACAGGGAGAACATGGGACTAGTTACTCTGCTCAATCGATGAGTGATTGGGGAGGTCATTTTGAGAATCAAAATTTGATGAAGACTTTGTTCAGGATTAAATCAGTAAAAATGTTAAAATACAACAAAGAAATAAAAAAGGGCACACAAATTAGACACGAATTCAAGTAGGTTATTGAAAGGAAAAAGAAAAACAATTGTCGTAAAAATCGTTAAAGAAGTTTAAAATCGGTTCCAGGAGAAATGATAATTGCTATTTGTAATTCATACAATACCCATTATTATTGTTTAATTTGATTTTGAGACTTGAGTAAATGGCCGGCTCGGGGTCACTTGGCTCACGTGGCTGTAATCGCTTATTGTAATTGTCTAATTGATATATACCCATTATTTTATGTCCCTCCAGGGCCTCCACCTGTCCACCATTTAATTTCAATTTTTCTTTTTCTGGCTTGAATGATAAGAAAAAAGAGTGACACTGAGAATAGTGCTCCGAACCCTAAAGCTTTCCGCATCGAAATCTTCTCCTGATTCGTTAGTATCATTTCCATTCTTCAGTTGTTTCCATTCGTATTCAAACACTAAATCTTAATCTTTTAGGATAGTTTTTACATAAGATTTTCTGCAAAGATGACTCAAGACGTGGAGATGAAAGACCACCAAACTCCTTCGCATTCTGTTTCCTCAGCTGTGCCATCCACTTTACAGCGTTAGTATCAATTTCAATTCAATTCAATTCTCAATCTCTTTATTTCAACTAATATTGTAATCTTTCTTTTATATAGATTTGAAGGAGATATCATCGATCATAGAGTCTGGCTCCTACACCAAGGAGATTCGCCGGATTGCTCGTGCCGTTCGTCTCACCATGGGCCTGAGGCGGAAGCTGACTGCTAACGTGCTCTCTGCATTTCTCGATTTTGCACTTGTGCCAGGTTCCGATGCGCATGCTCGATTGTCTCCGTATCTTACTAAAGTAAATTTCCAAATCTTCGATCGTTTTTTGTTTTTATTCAATTGCTCTGTTATCTTTTGATGTTTGAATAATCGTTATGATGGCGCTTTGCAGACTGGGTCAGGGAAATGAACTTTAGTTAGAGTCTTGGTCTTGCCTGGTTGACTATATTTGTTTGAGACTAGATTTCAGTGGTTGTAGGCTTATCTAACCAAGACAGATTCTGAAAATTTGATAAGTCTTATCTGAACTCAGAAGTAAAAATAGTTTATAACCTTCAGGTTGTATTTATCTATGGGCGGACCTGTAATTGCTGTAGCAGTGTCATGATACTTTATACCATTAATGTATGGTATTGCAAGAATGTCATTCATAGGGAATCGGTTGAAATTGTGGGGTGACTATGGTAGATAAGTCTTGTATGAATTCACTTTGCATAATAGGTTGCTTTCATTAGTTTTTATTGCTTCTATTTTGGATAATAAATCATTTGTTTTGGGTGGGGGGATTTATTCTTTTCCATGAAATTTTCTTTTCTGGTTCTTGTAACCTCTTATATCTCAATTTAGACTTGAGTATTGATAGATTATATAGTTCAGAGGGACATCCAGAACATGTTCCTTGGTGGATTCCTCTGGGCACTTTTTTTGAATGGTCCAGTATGATTGTGACTCTTAACTTTTGTGTTTCTGAATGAAGCATATCATTTATGATAATAATTATCTAAATCCATTATTTGCTTATTATTGCATATACTGCTATAACCTTTTTGATATCTCGTTGGAAATCGATAATCTTGTAGATTTCACTTTTCTGTAACAATGCATATAGGAAAATGAGCATGACATGGAAGTTGATACTGCGACATCTGCTGCCCAAACTCCAGGAAAATACTTGTTGCCAGAGCTTGAAATCTACTGCTACTTGCTTGTTCTTCTATTTCTGATTGATCAGAAAAAATATGATGAGGTTAGTTAATTATGGATGCCTTAGAAATAGTCCATTTTGGTTGAAACCATCAAGTTGGTTACTAATGATACTTTCCTTTATTTACTCTTTAGGCCAAAGCTTGTTCCTCTGCAAGCATTGTTCGACTCAAGAACCTAAACAGAAGAACTATTGATGTTCTAGCATCTAGATTGTACTTCTATTATTCGTATAGCTATGAGCTCACTGGTGATCTTGCACAAATTCGTGGGTGAGCAATCCATTGCCCTGTGTGTTTCCTTTGTAATTGTTATATGTGAATCTCACTCCTCCATGCATGTATGTGGTTCATAGATGCTACTATGTGTGTGCTTCTACTACATAGAGTTTGACAACATTGTTCAAATCTTCTTTTCAGCAACCTTCTTGCCTTGCATCGTATTGCCACTTTGCGCCATGATGAGTTGGGTCAGGTTTGTTATCAAACAAGCAAGTAGTTTTCAGTGTCAAGGATTTTGAATCTCATCAGTGATATAATGGGTTATGCAGGAAACACTTTTGAACCTGTTACTTCGTAATTACCTCCATTATAACCTTTATGATCAAGCTGAGAAGCTGAGGTCTAAGGCACCACGATTTGAAGCACACTCCAACCAGCAGGTAAGGCATCATATTTTTAGGGCACTCAGATAATATGTGGTCTTTTAGGTTACTCGTTGGATGAAAGGAGTTGTTGTTGGGATTATGCTCTTGTTCTATGTTAGATTTATAAATTAAGTTTTAAAAGGATCAGTTTTGACGTCTGCAACTATCAGCTTAGGCTTAGATTTGGCCTTAGGGACATCATTCTCATTATTTGCCACATCTTATGGCTGCTTGTGTTTTATAGTTTCCAGGTGTACATTGTCGTTGGCTATCTGCTGGCTTTCACCATTACCATTCTCTGCATGGAATATCTTGTAGGTGGTGACTGAGATTGTGCATGTTTTGTCTTTTCAGTGATGTTGACGTTAATTATTTTCTGTGCAGTTCTGTCGATATCTCTTGTACCTTGGGAAAATTCGGACAATTCAGTTGGAGTATACCGATGCTAAAGAGAGTCTACTGCAGGCAGCTCGGAAAGCTCCTGTTGCCGCTCGTGGCTTCAGAATTCAATGTAACAAGTGGGCTATATTAGTCCGCTTGCTGTTGGGGGAAATACCTGAGAGGACCATCTTTATGCAGAAAGGGATGGAAAAGGCATTGAGGCCATATTTTGAGCTTACGAATGTAAGTCTAACTTGTCCATGTATAATTGTTTTGGAAAATTGTATTAAGTTTCGAGTTTGTTACAGATCGTGGGTGTTGACCATGCCAAATGGTACTTACAGCTAGTTATTAGTTCTGTTTTGGATGAACGGTGTAATTTTTTAGCTGTTAAAACTTGCAGGCTGTACGGATTGGTGACTTGGAAATGTTTAGGGCAGTTGCAGAGAAGTTTGCTGGCACCTTCAATGCTGACAGAACGCACAATCTAATTGTTAGGCTGCGGCATAATGTCATTAGGACTGGATTACGCAACATAAGCATCTCTTATTCCCGCATCTCACTTGCAGATGTTGCTAAAAAATTGGGGTTGGACTCCGCAAATCCAGTTGCAGATGCCGAAAGCATTGTGGCCAAAGCCATTCGTGATGATGCGATAGATGCCACATNTGGTTGTAGGCTTATCTAACCAAGACAGATTCTGAAAATTTGATAAGTCTTATCTGAACTCAGAAGTAAAAATAGTTTATAACCTTCAGGTTGTATTTATCTATGGGCGGACCTGTAATTGCTGTAGCAGTGTCATGATACTTTATACCATTAATGTATGGTATTGCAAGAAAGTCATTCATAGGGAATCGGTTGAAATTGTGGGGTGACTATGGTAGATAAGTCTTGTATGAATTCACTTTGCATAATAGGTTGCTTTCATTAGTTTTTATTGCTTCTATTTAGGATAATAAATCATTTGTTTTGGGTGGGGGGATTTATTCTTTTCCATGAAATTTTCTTTTCTGGTTCTTGTAACCTCTTATATCTCAATTTAGACTTGAGTATTGATAGATTATATAGTTCAGAGGGACATCCAGAACATGTTCCTTGGTGGATTCCTCTGGGCACTTTTTTTGAATGGTCCAGTATGATTGTGACTCTTAACTTTTGTGTTTCTGAATGAAGCATATCATTTATGATAATAATTATCTAAATCCATTATTTGCTTATTATTGCATATACTGCTATAACCTTTTTGATATCTCGTTGGAAATCGATAATCTTGTAGATTTCACTTTTCTGTAACAATGCATATAGGAAAATGAGCATGACATGGAAGTTGATACTGCGACATCTGCTGCCCAAACTCCAGGAAAATACTTGTTGCCAGAGCTTGAAATCTACTGCTACTTGCTTGTTCTTCTATTTCTGATTGATCAGAAAAAATATGATGAGGTTAGTTAATTATGGATGCCTTAGAAATAGTCCATTTTGGTTGAAACCATCAAGTTGGTTACTAATGATACTTTCCTTTATTTACTCTTTAGGCCAAAGCTTGTTCCTCTGCAAGCATTGTTCGACTCAAGAACCTAAACAGAAGAACTATTGATGTTCTAGCATCTAGATTGTACTTCTATTATTCGTATAGCTATGAGCTCACTGGTGATCTTGCACAAATTCGTGGGTGAGCAATCCATTGCCCTGTGTGTTTCCTTTGTAATTGTTATATGTGAATCTCCCTCCTCCATGCATGTATGTGGTTCATAGATGCTACTATGTGTGTGCTTCTACTACATAGAGTTTGACAACATTGTTCAAATCTTCTTTTCAGCAACCTTCTTGCCTTGCATCGTATTGCCACTTTGCGCCATGATGAGTTGGGTCAGGTTTGTTATCAAACAAGCAAGTAGTTTTCAGTGTCAAGGATTTTGAATCTCATCAGTGATATAATGGGTTATGCAGGAAACACTTTTGAACCTGTTACTTCGTAATTACCTCCATTATAACCTTTATGATCAAGCTGAGAAGCTGAGGTCTAAGGCACCACGATTTGAAGCACACTCCAACCAGCAGGTAAGGCATCATATTTTTAGGGCACTCAAGATAAGATGTGGTCTTTTAGGTTACTCGTTGGATGAAAGGAGTTGTTGTTGGGATTATGCTCTTGTTCTATGTTAGATTTATAAATTAAGTTTTAAAAGGATCAGTTTTGACGTCTGCAACTATCAGCTTAGGCTTAGATTTGGCCTTAGGGACATCATTCTCATTATTTGCCACATCTTATGGCTGCTTGTGTTTTATAGTTTCCAGGTGTACATTGTCGTTGGCTATCTGCTGGCTTTCACCATTACCATTCTCTGCATGGAATCTCTTGTAGGTGGTGACTGAGATTGTGACTGTTTTGTCTTTTCAGTGATGTTGACGTTAATTATTTTCTGTGCAGTTCTGTCGATATCTCTTGTACCTTGGGAAAATTCGGACAATTCAGTTGGAGTATACCGATGCTAAAGAGAGTCTACTGCAGGCAGCTCGGAAAGCTCCTGTTGCCGCTCGTGGCTTCAGAATTCAATGTAACAAGTGGGCTATATTAGTCCGCTTGCTGTTGGGGGAAATACCTGAGAGGACCATCTTTATGCAGAAAGGGATGGAAAAGGCATTGAGGCCATATTTTGAGCTTACGAATGTAAGTCTAACTTGTCCATGTATAATTGTTTTGGAAAATTGTATTAAGTTTCGAGTTTGTTACAGATTGTGGGCGGTGACCATGCCAAATGGCACTTACAGCTAGTTATTAGTTCTGTTTTGGATGAACAGTGTAATTTTTTAGCTGTTAAAACTTGCAGGCTGTACGGATTGGTGACTTGGAAATGTTTAGGGCAGTTGCAGAGAAGTTTGCTGGCACCTTCAATGCTGACAGAACGCACAATCTAATTGTTAGGCTGCGGCATAATGTCATTAGGACTGGATTACGCAACATAAGCATCTCTTATTCCCGCATCTCACTTGCAGATGTTGCTAAAAAACTGGGGTTGGACTCCGCAAATCCAGTTGCAGATGCCGAAAGCATTGTGGCCAAAGCCATTCGTGATGATGCGATAGATGCCACATTGGATCATGCAAATGGGTGGATGGTATCTAAGGAGACTGGAGACATTTATTCGACAAATGAGCCTCAAATTGCCTTCAACTCTAGGATCGCTTTTTGTCTTAATATGCACAATGAAGCAATTCGGGCCTTGCGCTTTCCCCCAAATACACACAAGGAGAAGGAAAGTGCTGAGAAGAGGAGAGAAAGGCAACAGCAGGAGCAAGAACTTGCAAAGCATATTGCTGAGGAGGATGATGATGACTTTTGAGAATGGTGTGGGCACCATTGTGTTTTATTTTTGCACACATACATTCTCTATTTTTGTTACTGCTGCTTCCGAAAGTTCATAGTATTTTTCAGTTTTCAATCAATCTGAGACTAACCAGTTCATTGTGATGCATATACAACTTAGATCCCTGTTTTTTAATCTTCATTTAGCATTAGGGTGTTGTGTTTTTCCATGGACTTCTCAAACCTAGTAACATAGTTGCCTATTTTTGGAAGTAGTAGCTGGTGGTCTCAATAGTGTACTTACCTGCCCGAAGCAGTTCTCCTAAAAGAATTACACTATTACTTCCTATTCTTCATGAAAATAGAAGCAAGGAATCAGTGCCAAGCGTTTCCACCATGGCCAATTTTTAAGAAATCACTAATCATACTTCGATAATTACTGTCTAAAATGCATAAATCTAAATCAGCTTGGCTAGGTGCCGCAGTTGGAGGCTTTAGGCTAGAAAAGGCTCGCGTCCAAAGGGCTAGTGGAGAGACAAACCTTTTGGGCTAGGCCATGGAGAGGGAAAACCAATAGCCCAGCTGCATGACGAGGTGATAGGTTCCAGTGCTCTCGACTCTAACTCTGTCGGGTAGTACCGGACCCACACAATGCGGTGCGGAGTCAGACTTGCCCAGACAAAAAACGGGTGCTTCTGCATTGTGATTATTGTTTACGTGAACGGTTACGATTGTAGGATACTGGGGTCCACTTAAGCTGTATTATTTAGGTACACCGGTGGCTTTTGTTTTGATTATCCTGTCACTCACCTTAATCGATGCCACACTTCTGTTGAGTACCTAATAATAAGGGATTGTTGACGGTGGGCATGATGTGTGTCTATGGGCGATGGAATGACAGTATATAGTAAATATGAATATGGGTCGACCCATAATTTGGCATGTGGTCCATCAAGAAGTGCTTGACGGTGAAAGCGATGCCATATGATTTGTTCTGTTAATGCATGCTCTGAATCTGCATATCTCGACGTAACTTAATATAAAGGGCTAATACAGGATTCATTCTTTGTTCTCCAATTAGATTAAGATCAGATCAACCGTAAGATTGGTGATCAAAGCCAACATTATTGTTAACCATTCTTTGAATATAATAAGAAGGGTTCACCATCTAAATGTCAAAACGTGTCATGTGCATGAGCATGAGGAGTTAAATAGTCTTGCCCAAGAGCCATGTGAAATTTGTATCATACGATCTAAGCAAAAAATATTCTGTCACACAAAATCATGTTGAAGATGTCGTTTTATCTTCAAAAGAAGGAACAACTAGGCTTGTGGTTTTTGATCCATTCACGGCTCTGCATGTGGGTGGCAAGGCAAGAGTGGGAGAACGTGGGAATAATTGAATGAGGTTCAGATTTCTTCAGTCTTGCAGAGACAGATAATAAATTTAAATATTGTATTGTTTTTAAGTTTCTCTATAGTCTCAGAGATCACATGTGAGCTTGTTGCCATTTGATAAGAGAGTCGAGAGTCGGTCATTTATTTAAAGAAGCTGTTTCTTAAGCTTGCAACCGTCAATAAATGTAATTAAATTCATCTCCAATCCTCATCCTCCATCTAAAACACTCTCCTTCATTTCTCGTCTTTTGGGCTACTAAGAAATGGCGAAACCCTTGTCTTTACTTGCAGTTATCTTGATTCAGTTGAGCTATTTTACTATCAATACCAACGCCTTTACTGCTTCTGGTTGGAATAAAGGTCATGCCACTTTTTATGGAGACAGTGATGCCTCGGGAACAATGGGTATGTAATGTAGTTTTTCATTTTATGAAACTATACTTTTATAATAATCCTGTATATAATAAAATGATTGCTTTGTGGCCTCACAGGGGGAGCTTGCGGGTACGGGAACTTGTATTCCACTGGTTATGGAACTAGAACTGCCGCTTTAAGCACTGCATTGTTCAATGATGGAGCTTCATGTGGGCAATGTTTCAAGATCATGTGTGATTATAAATCAGACTCCAGATGGTGTATTAAAGGAACTTCTATCACCATTACTGCAACAAACTTTTGCCCTCCTAATTACGATCTTCCAAACAACAATGGAGGCTGGTGCAATCCTCCTCTCCAGCATTTCGATATGGCCCAGCCAGCTTGGGAAAAAATTGGTATTTATAGAGGTGGAATCATTCCTGTTTTGTTCCAAAGGTATTAATTTTTTTTTTTTTTTCAAAAATCATTTCTTTCATTTTACTCTTTATATCATTTTGTCTATGTTCTTTGTTAAATTTCTTGGTATCTTAATATTGATGCAGGGTTCCATGCAAGAAGCACGGTGGAGTAAGATTCACCATTAACGGGAGAGACTATTTTGAGCTTGTTTTGATCAGCAATGTGGGTGGGGCTGGTGCTATTCAATCTGCATATATCAAAGGTTCGAAAACCGGGTGGATGTCCATGTCTAGGAATTGGGGAGCCAATTGGCAGTCAAATGCATATCTCAATGGCCAATCACTATCGTTCAAAGTCACCACAACCGACGGTGAAACTCGTATATTTACAAACATCGTGCCATCGAACTGGGCATTTGGGCAGAGCTTCTCTAGCAGAGTACAATTCTCATAAGTTAAAAAGTGGCTTCAGAGTTCAAGGTTTTGTGACTTGAATTGGCAGAGGCGTGCTTGTTATTTCATTAAAGCAGCCCGCCGCGTTTTTCTGAGGGAATCAATCACATGGTAATTAAATGAAATCTCAAGTGGATTAAATTGGAAGCAATCCATGAACTCAAGCCAACTATTACTCTACATGTGTTTTATGATCCGTAAATTTTGCAGTGATTTATGGATGCTCAAATTATTAATTTAAAGATCATGTGTTAAATAGTTGATGTACAACAATAAGAAGCTCAGTTTAATTAATTAAGCTCAAGCTTCAGCATACATAAATTTTTGGTTTTACATGCTTGTAATATGATCAGTTTTATCATTCAAAGGAAATAAAGTTATCAACTTCTTGTCTCATTTATCCACCCCGTTTTTCTTGTATTATTCTTTTCCCATTGTCTTTGTATATGTGATTTCCAATCTGAAACAAACTGCCGTTGTATTTTGTCCTACCTTTCTATACCTTATATCACAAATTCATCATTATGGAGAGATTCAGCAAAGGACATAGAAGGGATGAACCCCTCTGTCTGACCATTTCAATGGACCCCCAAAAGGATTTTTCATTTGGTAGAAGACATGCAACAAATTATAACGAACCTTTTAACTAGCCTAACTTTGAACGAAAATAATAGAACCACCGAAGGTTGCACACTGAATAACGTGACAAAATCCTTAGCATTACTCAACTTTGAATTAGGCACCCGAAGGAAACAGAAACACTACAGACCTTTCTCACATTTTTGATGTAAAATCTGACGCTTGAACTACTGCTCATCAAATTATGAAGTTCAGATGGACTGCCAATATAGATATTGGATAGATCAAATTGTTGAAAATGGTTCATACTTGGAGATCCCAATTAATAATTGGGTTTAACTTGGTTTTTAAAGATTTGGGCTTGAAACAGTTTAGCTCAAATGTGATTAGGTTTATTATTGCTCATTTTGTATATATATGTTCTAATAGTGAAAAATATTGCAAAAGAATAAATTGTGAGTGAGTTGTCGATACTGCTATTCTTGTATTGTCGCATATTTCTGAAAACTTAATAAAACTTCTTCATCTTAAATATTGGACGTAGTTATTTGAATTTGAGAATAAACGAAGGTAAAATGATTATCTTTTTTTACTTCTTGTCTTCAAAGTTTCGTGTAATTTAGCGTTAAATTTCAACACAAGTCAAACTCAAATTTAAAGACAGGAATCCAACAGTAATATCATGTTAAAAAATCAGCTAACCCAAAAGCATAAAGTTATAAGAAAAATAACTTCAAAATTCAATACTTGTACTACCAGCTCAATTATTGTTCACCTCTTTAAAGGTTCTACTCCTGTAGATGAGTTTTTCAAATAATAAAACACAGTCAACACTAGATGTCAGGGCTGGTAGTTGGCCAGCCCTAAAATCATGTCTCAAGCAACGCATAATAACCCATCAATACCTATTATATAATATTAGGCGATTGTCCACTTCTTATTTGCAGCTGAATTTTCCTCGTCAAAGTCACTTTTTAAAGGTTTCAAAAGCTAATCCTGCAGCTTTAATTTTGACAGTCCTCTGAAACAGATTTGGAACAATATTTCTTACATGAAAATCTAACTCAACCTTTAAGTAAAACAAAGGTTGTTAATACTGATAGTGACAAATCCATATATAGGGGTTGTGAAGTTGCGTTACGCAACAAAGCTTTATTGGTTCAACCTCACCACCCAACATATTCTTCCATATATACAGCTTTGTAGGGTCATCGTTCTACTCTACAAAAGCACTTTGCTTAATCTCCAATCACGCCTAAAAAAATAATTCTGCTGCAGGGAATGCGGCTACGTTTAAGTTTTGGTGTGGCCCCTCATCAGCTCTGCGCAAGACTTGAAATTTGAAACTGAGACTTATCTTTTCTGAAGAATTATGTTAATAAACTGTGACATATACAGCACTTGCTTATCTTCTTTTTAATTGCTTCTTTAATGCTCCTGATAATGTTTCGTTATCACCAGAAAAAAAGTAGAATTAAATCGAATATTCAACTATAAATATAGAACAAGTATATATGAAGTGTTTCCCTCTTCTTCAAAGTCAAAGTCTGAAGCGTCACTTTTTCAGAGACTAATAACAAATTAATGTAACATGAACCGTCTTCTTGGTGAGGATGCTTCAGTGCTACTCCACTAAACAGTGTTCTTGATCACCAAATTTATTAACAACCATATCCTCAATAACAACTCCAAGTTCCACTCTCTCTTGTCTGCGCTATAAATACCATTACCCGTTCGTGTGGTTCCACAGGTTATAAGTATCTAGTTAACAAAACCACAAAAGCTATAATTTGCAACATCTTCAGCTATGGCAGCCATTTTCACTGTCATATTTGCCCTTCTCATGTTTCAAAGTTCTTCTCCTGTAACTGCACTTAACATCAACTACTATGATCACAATTGCCCCCGGCTCGAGACCACAGTAACCAATGCCGTCAAGGAAGCAATGAAGAATGACAAAACAGTTCCAGCTGCACTGCTTCGAATGCACTTCCATGATTGCTTTATCAGAGTAACCCTTATAATTAATTAATTAAATCTTGCTAAACATTCGGTTTACACAACATGCATGCATAAATTTTTATATTAAAAAGGTTATGATTTACGTAGCATTTTTTTTTTGAAAGGGTTGCGATGGTTCAGTGTTGCTGAACTCAAAGGGGAAGAAAACTGCAGAGAAAGATGGGCCTCCTAACATTTCATTGCACGCATTCTATGTAATTGACAACGCAAAGAAAGCGGTGGAAGCATTGTGCCCTGGCGTGGTTTCTTGTGCTGATATCTTGGCTCTAGCTGCTCGAGATGCAGTAGCTCTGGTTAGTTATGAACCGATAACTGTGTTCAATTATTTAATAATATCAACCATTTAAGGGTTTCGTGAGGTAGCTTTAACTGCTACATTATCCATGTCTAATTAATTTAACATGTATAGCCATTGACTTTTCGTTTGTTTATGCATGAGCTAGTCTGGAGGTCCCCCTTGGGATGTTCCAAAAGGGAGAAAAGATGGTAGAATTTCAAAGGCTACTGATACTAGACAGTTGCCAGCTCCCATCTTTAACATATCTCAACTTCAGCAAAGCTTCTCCCAGAGAGGTCTCTCCATGGAAGATCTCGTGGCTCTCTCAGGTTAAACTCTTTAACTAACCAATCATCTCATGACTGCATATTCAGCTAGCATTGATTAACTTAATTACAGCAATTAAATTCGTTACTGAAAGTGAGTTAAATAATCACCATATTTTATTTTTCTTTTTACGTAGGTGGCCATACCCTCGGGTTTTCTCATTGCTCATCCTTTCAAAACAGAATCCACAATTTTAATGCCATCTTAGACATCGACCCATCGATGAACCCATCTTTTGCCGCCAGTTTAAGAAGCGTATGTCCCGCACACAACAAGGTAAAAAGTGCAGGTACCTCATTAGATTCCTCGGTGACTGTATTTGACAACGCATACTACAAACTACTTCTTCAGGGGAAGAGTATTTTCTCTTCGGATCAAGCTCTACTCACTACCCCAAAGACTAAAGCTTTGGTTTCCAAGTTCGCCAGTTCCAAAACAGCCTTTGAAAAGGCTTTCGTGCAGTCCATGATCAAAATGAGTAGCATCACTGGTGGACAAGAGATCAGGCTCGATTGTAGAGTTGTTAATTAAATTAAGTGATCACTATTGTAGCCAAGTTACGGTGTTGTTCTCAGTGAGCAAGGCCGTTCGTCAAATTTTTTAGAAAAAAATTCTATGATGTCAAATTTAGGTTTTTTGATTGATAAAAGCAGTTCGGGTAATGTTATATTTGGATTTGTAATCATGTGATTGTTTAATCTAGTGGGAAATAACTACTTTTATTTGGTTGCTCCTTAAAGGCTCGGATTTCGGATAGTATTGTTAAGAAGCATCTCAAGGTCCAATTGAAATGCCTATCAGGCTATCAGCTGTGCTTTAATCTAAAGCCAAATCCAACTAGGTCCGGGTTGATTCTAGGCCCAAGTTGAAAACCATTTTTCCTGGGACCTAAAAATGATTCTGATCGCCAGATTTGGCTAACAACACAATGAGTAATATTAAATTTACAACCCAATTTTACGATCTTCTCTCACAACCTCCGACATGATCACTCATCATTGGTTAATTCATATATAGACAGACGAGAGCTATTTTACGAGCTAACCAATGACAAACTATCACGTTGGGGGTTGTGAGAGAAGATTATGAGATTGAGTTGTAGACCTGATATTACTTAACAATAATATCTTCATTAACAATCCAATTAACTCCATCCTCTCTTGTCTACTCTATAAATACCACTGCCCTTTTGGGTGATTTCACATTTTAATTATATGTAATCAGCAACAAAGATTTATAATTTCTCAAGTATAGATCACTATGGCAGCCATTGTTACTCTGATATGTGCCCTTCTCATGTTTCAAATTTCTACTTCTGTAAGTGAACTTAACCTCAACTACTATGATCAAACATGCCCTCGGCTAGAGCCCTTGGTTGCCAATGCTGTCAAGAAAACAACAAAGAAAGGCAAAACAGCTCCAGCTGCTACTTCGATTGCACTTCCATTATTGCTTTATCAGAGTAACCATTTTTCATCTAATTAACCAACATCATTTTACATAAAAAATGCATTTTCAAATGTAATTACCGATTATGGATTTGTTTAATTTCTTCAAAAGGCTGAGATGCTTCTGTGTTGTTGAATTCAAAGGGAAAGAATAAAGCAGAAAAAGATTGGCCTCCTAACAAATCCTTTGCGTGCATTTTATGTCGTTGACAACGCAAAGAAAGCGGTGGAAGCTCAATGCCCTGGCGTGGTCTCTTGTGCTGATATCTTGTCTCTAGCTGCTCGGGATGCTGTTGTTTTGGTTAGTAAATTTTATGAACACAACCACTTATATTATTATTAATATTAATTTAGCTTTGTTTAAATACTGTATATGGTCCGGAGTTCCATTTGGAATGTGCTAAAAGGGAGAAAAGATGGTAGAATTTCAAGACCTAGTGATACCAAATATTTGCCAGGTTACACACCTATAACATTTCTCAGCTTCAGAAAAGCTTCTCCCAGAGAGGGGTCTCCATGCAGGATCTCGTGGTTCTCTCAGGTCAAACTCTTATAAATTTTGATTGCCTTAATCATCCGTCATTACTGTGATACTGGTATGTAAACCCCACCAATACGTCTAAGAATAAAATAATCTTTTCCTTTTTATGTGTTAAATTAACTATCATGCACATGCCTTAGGGGTAAAGCGGTAAAAGAATGATGAAATTTTGTTAGCTTGACAAGAGGATTAAGGAGTAATTAAAAGACAATTGTTAAGGGCAAAAAAGAAAATAATGTTATAGGACATTAAATGCAAAAGACAAAAGTCACATGAATAATTCTTTAGCCAAAAAAAAGAAAAAAAAAAAAAAAAGATATTAGATGGTATGGGTCGGCCAACATATGTCTTCTACCACTTTTCTTTATCTTCTTCAAGTTTTCTATAATCTTCCATAATTTTCTTCACTACTCCATTAAAATTTCAAATCTCTTAGTTGCAATCTATCAAGTGTCTTATATTTCTTCCTTTATTAAGTATATTAGGAAGTAAAGTTCAACTTCTTATCTTATATAAATATTGTGTATTTCAAGTTATTGAAGTTTCCTTATAATTTATGTTAGAAAAAGGGTTAATTGGAGATAAGGAGGAGGAAATTTGCAAAGGGGTGTGGTTTCTTGACATAAGGTAAGGGAAACCTCTATTTAATAGGAAATAAGAATTAGGTTTCTAGGTTTATTATTAGGAAATCTTAATTCTTGTCACACAATAGCAATTGAGTTTGGTTTGATGCTATAATTGATGAATTTATATGTGAATTGTAAAAACATTGAAGTTTGATGACAATCAATAAAAGTAGTTGCGACATGAGTTTTTAACATATTATAAGGGAGGTTCTTATTGATCTTTTAACATGTTTTCACATAGGAGAATGGTTAGGAAAGGTTAGAGAGTAAGTGGAGGTAAATAGGTAAGGAAAAACCCTAAAATAGGCATATTACCATGGTTGCCTTGTCACAGCCATGACCTTTTAAGTAATTTTTGGGTATCTTACCGATTGAATTGAGTTGAGATCTAAACATAAAAGTTGTAGTCCTGTCTCTAAGCTTTAAAACTTGGAGAGGGCTGTTGCATGATAATTGCAGCATGTCATTAGCTTTGGTGGACTAACTCTTTTATTTTTGATATATAGGTGGCCACTGGCCATACCCTTGGCCTTGGGTTCGCTCACTACTCGTCCTTTGACAATAGAATCCACCATTTTAATGCCACCTTTGACGTCGACCCATCAATGAACCCATCGTTTGCAGCCAGTTTAAGATGCGTATTTCCCGTGCATAACAAGGTGACAAATGCTGGTGCCGCATTAGATTCCACACCCACTGTATTTGACAACGCATACTACAAAACAAACAATTCTCAAGGGGAAGATTATTTTCTCTTCTGATCAAGCTCTAAATCTAATCACCAGCCCACAGACTAAAGCTTTGGTTTCCAAGTTTGCCCGTTCCAAAAATGCCTTTGAAAGTGCTTAAACCCAAACCTTAAGCCCAAATTGAAATGGCCCAATATGCCTGTGGACTTTAATCGGGGTTGATTGCAGGTCCGGAAATCCAAATAGCGCAGTTAAGAGCCGCAGAGAGGCGAGTACATTGATGATTGAAATTTGAAAGACTGAGAAAGACGCCTTTATTTGAATATTGTACGGACTAGCGACTCTGATTACTTCAGTTTAGATTTCAATGAGCGATCACGGCGTCAGCCAAACAAACGATTCAGAAACGGAAGAAAAACAAGTAGAAGTAGGAGAAAAAGAAGAAGATGAAGAGGAGGAGTTGCGTAAGCTTCTGGTCCCTAACGTACACGATCTTCCTCTCACTCCTCCCTCCGCCGTTGATTTCAACTTCGTCACCTACTTTGCTCCAGGTTCTTTCCTTGATTAATTACTTAATTAATTAATTGCATTAATAGAAAATCATTATCTAAACACCTAAGCAATTTAGTATTTACTTACAACTGTTTTTTTTTTTTAATTATTATTTTGAATAGATTTTATAAAACCAGGACATGATCAGTACGTTTACCGCCATGCGAATGGGTGAGATTTTGTGTTTTAATTTAATTTTGATTTGCGAAGTGTCTGCATTTGGTAATCTAATTTTTGGCATTTATTTTTTTAATGCAAAGTTTGTGCGTAATCGGTTTGGCTCCGACGCATGTGGCTTTTAAGGATGAAGGTGGAATCACCGCCGTTGATTTCAATGTTGGCAAGTCTGATCGCAGTAACTTTAAGGTCACCGGGAAGCGAAAGAAGGTATTGATTTTTTTCTATCGTCTCGATAGTGTAGCTCTGAGTTGAACTTTGTAATTTACCAATTTAGATGAATTCTTGACCAAAATTTAATGTTTTTGTTTTATATGTAGAATGCCCAACACTTTGAGTCGAACACTGCTTTATGTAAAGTTTGCACCAATAACGAGTCTTATATTGTGAGGTAAAGTTACTTGTACTGATGTCTTATTAATTGTGGGTGCTTAGTTGTTTGTTCTTCTGTTGTTAGCGTTAATTGAAAACCAAAAGTTTTGCCGGCGTTTTGCAGGTGTTGTGTTAAAGGCTCGCTATTGGAAGTGAATGATAGATTGATTAAACAGCCGGGATTGCTCAATTCATCGGTGAGAATAACTTACAAATAGTTGTTGTTTGAGTAGATGATGCAAAATTGTGCAAGTGGGGATTGTGCTATTTGGTGATTGCAATAGTAATACACTATTGACTTCTCAACCACTTGTTATCTTCTAACTCGTCACTATCCTGTTATTACATTGTAGTTTATAAGCCATCTTCTCTTTTGGATAGCTCTTGTTTATAAGACAGACAAAAATCCCGAACTTAACAGTGACTAGCCTAGGAGAAGCCTAAAGTAGTTACTTGTTTTTTTTTCTGATAAATTTGTTAGCAGAAAAGAAATTCAGTTAGGAATAATGGATAATTATTCATTCAATCTTGTTATCGAATTGTAAATGGCAACAAATTATTAGTACGGATTTTTCAAGAAATGTTGGTTGTGAGGAGTGAAGTTGACAATTTAATATCCTCTTCCATTCATAAGCTTTTATCAGTTATTTGTAACTTACTACACTGCTGTCAAGCATAATGGGTAGGCATGCCAACTTTATGAGGTTAAGTTAGTTGCCTATTGTCTATTTGGCAACAGGGCTGGTTCTGTTATTGTGGTGGAAGGAGTCTTAGTTGAAACTTGTGTTTTTTATTTGCTAGAGCAAACTTTGTCCATATGGTGATTATCTGTCCATGATATATGAGAGTTACCACTTATCACTAACATGTAGTTGATGTGATTTTAATTGGAAATGCAATTATCAATTTAGTCACCTTTATTGTGATGTGTCAGATGCAGTCTTGTACTTGAATAGCTTCAACTTTGTGATTAACTATGGTCATTCTTGCAACACCTAATTGCTGTGACTATATGTACTCTAGTTTTCAGTTGTTGTATTGAAGAGATAAGTATGCTGCTGCATTTATTAGTGCCCTAGTTTTCTGTGATTCCCATTCATCTATGAATTTCTTGACTAAATTCCAGGCTGATAGAGAAGGATACATTGCAATAATCATGCCAAAACCAGCAGATTGGATGAAGATCAAGAGCTCACTCATTGTTAAGCATTGAAGAATACAAGAAAATGAGAGAAGCTAACTAAATTATTGGAACATCCGAAGAAAAACAAGATATTCATCCTCACGAAGTGTTTGCATTTCAGATCCCCCAGCATCAGTTATTTCATGAGCCTTCCCAGGCAGAACTAGCAACTTATAACAGGGTTGATGATAATTATTTTGTTAACATCTTCTAATCTCGTTTGTGAGGATGATTTGTATTGTGCCATTTGTATGTTATGCTAAATTATCTATTTTTCCCAGGCCATGATTAAGATATCATGGTCAAACTAACTTATATTTTTTAATCTTAATTCTTAGCAAGCAGCAGTCATTGATTTTAGATTCTTAATATAAACTGCATTCTTTAATCAGTACTCATGATTAAGTGATTAATAGCTACTCTGGTAAAAAAGATTGGTTCGTATTATGCACCAAATTTTTGGGTTATTAAAGCTCTTTGTGAAGCTCTAATTGGCATACAGTTCAATTGAATCAGATTGGCATTCAATTGGCTTTAGGAAACGGAGAAAAGGGGTAGAGTGCAGAAGGAAGAAAAGTTAAAGACGTTCAGTTCAGCAAAGGAATCTTAAGCCCAGAAAAAAAAAGGATCCACTTCTGGGCAAAAACCCATTTAAATAAAACAGCAAAAAATTAGCAAAAGATCGCAGACTAAATATTTTCGCAGTTATAAACGTGCATCATAAGTTACAGAGAAAAATTAAATTAATAATAGGCAAAAAGATACATAATTTGCTTATAATTTTATTGTTTTATATCTCCAGAGTTTTTGGCATGAATTAGTAAAAGAATAAAAGAAGTTCGGATATATACAGCTTAGTCTGTTGCAAAGTAATACTCAATCCTTGTATACAATACAGTCACTGTCACCATCTTCATGAGAATTTTATTACATCTTCAGAAACAAACTGACCAAGGTCATCACGTGTTATGCTGAGGCACCATGATCTCTTGTAGAACAAGCCTTCTTGATCTGTTTATGGTGAGAAAGCATAAGTAAATGTGTTCTTCAAGCTCGTTTAACTGGTCCAGAAATTTAGACTGATTGATTTGAAATTCTTTCACAACCTCCTTCAATATTTCAGGTTTGCCAATCCTGACACACATCTTAGCAATGGCTTCGCAGTGTTCTACCTCATCATGTAAGCTCTTCACCATCCGACTCATTGTATTAAAATCATTGATCAATATAAAAACCCCTTTTGCCGCAACATCAAGCTGCGCAGCGAGTCTTTCGAGCAAGCTTGTCTTAAAACGTCGATGAACCAACATGGTTTTTCTCTTGATTAAAACTAAACAACCAGCCACAAGCCCAGGTGCTGCCACAACGCCAACCATGCTATGGAGTAGAAAAACCAGCATCCCAATTGTTAGTGCACTATGAAGAATTACCAGACTGTAGCCTCCTACTTTTTTGAAAAGTTTATTACATATTGCTCTCCTTCTAATCTTCTTGCCTTTTGATGTCAAACTACTCAGCAACATAATGTTGCTATGATGATAATCGCGGAAATGCACTTGGCCGAAGATTGATAATGGGTTTTTAAGCGAGGCAACTGCAGAAAGTTGTCTAAATATAACTGAACAATCATTCAACTTTTTGGTTAGTTTGATGACCCTTTGGATTTTTTGGTAATTAGCTCGAGTTTGATGGACGCTTCGGAGGAGTAATTCACAAATATCGTAGGCTTCTAGGCTAGCTTCAAAGTAATCGATGAGAAGGTGATGGAAGCGCAAGCTCTTTATCATGTTCATTAGGGTTTCTTGTTGCGGTTCCAGCAGATAATCAGACAGTTTTACATATAAAGAAAGAGAAGACGATCTATCAATGCTTCTTCTTCTTCCCAACTGGCCTTGAGCTTTGCTCCACATTTCCACGTATGACTTTGTTCTGAATGCTTCCGTGTATTCTTCATCGACGTTTAACTTGCTGCTCAAGCTATTGAGACGCTCCTTGTGCGATTTGCCTGAGACCAGAAAACAAACATCTGAAAATCGAATAAATTATTCATGACAAATTAACAAAACATACCTAACAAATCACTCGATATAAGTGTATATATTTGACCAAATTAATAAGAATCTGTTGAATTAAGGTACATGTTTATGACTATAGAAAATAATTAATAGATAAACCTATGACCATGAAGAAACTAACCCATCACAGATCTTTTCCAGTATTCACCCAAAATAAGAAAAAAAAAAAAAATTAAAAATTGATAGCAAAAAGTTGATGAAGAAGATGAATAGACAAGAGACATACAAGAAACTCACCTGTCTTCCTCCTAAACAAGGATCTTAATTTGGTCCACATAGTTTTTCCCATCTGATATGATCCAAATGGAAGCTCGATCTTTAATGTTCTTGAACTAATTTAAGTTAGAAAGAAAATAAGATTAAGCTGCTTTAAGTTGTATATATATATAGAAGGTTTAGGCTTGAAGAGATAATTAATTAATGAGCAAAAGTGGAAAGATAACAGACTCTCGGAAAGTTAGCACCAGCAGAGTTTATTATAGCTTTTTGCACACGATAGCCTCCCTCACACGGTGTGTTCTTCTACTTTTAATGCATTTAGACAAGGCTTTATAGTAGAAACAGTTTATACATAAATGTTATAAACATTTATGGTGTATAATGAAGTTTCTCATACGCTATCCATTCCTAATTTTCATTTCCATTTTCGGTGGAGTATACATTAAAGCCGACCGTGCGTTAACTAACATTGACGCGGTTTCGGTTCTTTCAACTAAACCTAATCTTGAACCGGGACTGTTGACGTTTGCGTACAGATTATATTATAACCAACGGGATGTGGGAAATTAATGCGATTGAAAGTACTTGCTTGTCTCCAGAATATCCGAAACGCTCCATGTAACCGTGTAAATTTTACCAATTATCATGAAACCTGCAGGGTTGCTTTTGAATCCAAAATTAGCCCCTTCTAATCCTTGATATCTTTGCTTTCACTCTTGGATTTCCGCATAGAAACACAGCACAGAAACGGGTTTTAGTTTAAATAAGAAAACATGGAGTTGCCACGTATTTTTAACTAGTTGAGCTGGGTTGGGTCCTACTTAATTAGATTATAGAGAATATAATAAACAGAAAGCAATGGGAGTTTTGTCTTTATTAAGATGTCTAGGATAGTAAGGCAATGAACGCAGCTTAATTAAGCTTTACAGACTTGAGCCATCCATTTCCTAGGCATAAGTGATCAAACCAAAGTAAACAAACAAGAAGAGCATGAAACAGGTAACAGATCAGCCAAGCAAGCTTAGCTTCTACAGGTTTGATGAGTCTCCAGCAATGTCGATTACAAAGCGGTATCTGACATCATTTCTTGCAAGGCGTTCAAGGGCTTCGTTAATTTGGTCTGGTTTTACCACCTCAATGTTGCATGTGATGTTGTACTTGCCACACAGATCCATCATCTCCTGTGTCTCTTTCATTCCCCCTATTATGCTACCCTTCACAGTTCTCTTGCCTGCGAGTGAATAAGCAACACTCTTGCTTAATTCAATATATTTCTTGTAAACAGTGACTCCTAATTAACAGTGCAAATTTTAAGAAATGAGAAAGGTTTAATAGGGAGTGACTTACCAAATATCAAGGGAAAAGCAGGAAGTTCGATGGGCTGGTCAGGTGCACCCACCAGCGATAGTGTTCCATTCACCTTGAGTAATTCTAAGATAGGCCCAAGAGAGTGCTTCGCTGCTACTGTGTCCAATATAAAATCCAGGGTTCTCGTGCCTGCCTGTCACCCACATTGAGCCAACAGTTATCAGGTAACATTATTTATACTTAGCAGTTAGTTTTTGCCGGGAAGTTAAAGTCTCGAAGACAGATTCCTAGGCCCCCTTCTAATTTATATATAATTTTGAATGTGTTTGTGTGTGCTGTCTAGTGAATAAAATAGACAAGACATTTTCTCTTATGGTACGTTTTGTCATAAAACAATAATAAACACCTAAAACATTTTTCATAATGTTTTCTCCCTTAAAGAAGAGTCCTAGCAAGGCCATATTTATAAAGATAATTAGCAAATTAACCTTCATTTGTTCATCATTAGTGCTGACGATGAAGTCATCTGCACCCAAAACCTCTCTGGCCTCTTTTTCCTTTGAGGGAGATGTGCTGATGACTGTTACATGATGACCAAATGCCTTCCCAAATTTGATTGCCACGTGCCCAAGTCCCCCTAGACCGACTACTCCTATCTTTTTTCCTGGTGACTCGATCAAATTGTTGTCTTTCAAAGGGGTGAACACTGTTATTCCCGCGCACAACAGCGGCGCTACGGCAGCCATTGACAAATTCTCCGGCAGGTGAACCACGAACCTTCATGTCAAATTCCACAACAAAAGTTAAAAAGCAAAAGGCACGAATTACTGGACTGACTTGCATTTGCATATAAAATATAACATATCTGCAATCGGATCCATACATTTGATTCTACAAATGTGATATCTTTTAAAATACAAATTATTGTTTGTTTGACGCATATGGGTGTTTGCATCCATCCATGACTAATTTAAATTATACACCTAAATTCTAGGAAATTTCTGAACGGTTTCTGGCCTTTGAGGAATATTCAACAAATTTTATTTCTGGGGTCAGTCAACCATCAGCTGATAATGCATGTTGCGTAATGGCTTTTGCTACATCTATATGCAATCGGTGGTCCAAATATCCTAATTGCTTTTTATTTTTTTTTCCGAAACGATAATTGGCATCAATATAATTAAATTAAAAATATTCTTATTTTCCACGAAGAAAAAAATGCTGATTGGAAGAGGGGGGTTGATAATGCAGCCATTTTTAACATGAAAACTCTAGCAATATTGGTAGGCCCTAGTTTTCAGATAAATAAGTTATAAAATGACCATTTTATGTTGAAAAAGATACTGGTTTATTACTGTAATCATGAAAGTGACTTTTTTTTTTTTTTTGGTTAAATAAGGAAGTCATGAATTAATGCGGGAGAGGTATATGTGAGGATTAGATTAAGTCCAATAATAGAAGGTTACCTGTGATCTGCGACCAGCATTTCAGAGTAGCCACCATAAGTTATACTGCCATCCCAAAAGATGCCATTATACACGAATTGGAGCTTATCACAGTAGTTCTCTTGCGAGCTTTTGCAAAACTCACACTTCAAACAAGATGCTGCCAGGCATCCAACCCCCACCTTATCTCCTATCTTGAAATTCTTTACATTGCTTCCAACCTTTGTAACCATCCCAGTAATTTCATGTCTGCAGGAGACAACTCAATCCGCTATTAACGATCTAAACTAAAGAAAAGAATGGTTTTGAGTTAGGTAGCTTGTAGATTATTACCCAGGAACAACAGGATACATGGTGATTCCCCAGTCGTCTCTCACATGATGGAGATCCGTGTGGCAGATCCCACAATAAAGAATCTTTATGGTCACATCGTCGACGCCGTTCTCTCTGGTTATTACAAATAAAAACTCACGTTATACAAGAATTAAAACTGAAGTTTTGATACATATATGTGATGTTATTATACCTTCGCTTGATTATGTGAGGGGTAATCTTGCCGGACGGATCATGAGCTGCCCAGCAAGCGACCGTCTGGGTGTGGTTTGGAGTTGTTTGAGCCATTAAAAAAGAGACACGGCTGGTTGAGAATGATAAAAGCCAGAAGAGTTAATAACCTTGGAAAGATGAAGGGGACGGGTTTCTGTCGCTCTCATAATTTAAGATAGCGAACAACTTCCAAACTAAAAAAATCAGAATATTCAAGGCTCCGTTTGGCACATCATTTTTATCCATATTTCCCTCTTATTTTGGTTTTGTTGTTCGAGAAATATATTTTATATTATTTTAATTAATTTTAGACCCCTTAAATTTATTAATTTTATTAAATACCCTTAAAAAATAAATTAAAAATTAAAAAAACATCCCTATCCATCCATACTTACCAGATTCTGACAACCACTATCGGTGATAGTGGAAATCTATCACAACGACCTACAAACGATCGAAACTGACCTGTAATTCATCGATCTAGCCTTTTTTGGCTAGATCCACAATAAATTTGGCTAGAAAATACAAACTGACAGCCAAAAAAATGGCCATCGTTAACCGACAACGACGGCCATATCTTTGGTCGTCGCTGACTACTAAATCTAGACTTTTCCAACCATATCCATGGTGGATCTGGTTAGAAAATGCCATATCGATGCCTTACCTGCTAGATCCGACCAGTCTGCGTCGTAATGCTATTTTCCGGCGGTGTGACCGAAATCTGGCACTGTGGGTGGGTGGGGGTGTTTTTGTCATTTTATAAAATTTTTATATATTAGAGTGTTTAGTTAAATTAGCAAACCTAAGGGGTTTTTTTTGTAAATTTTTAAATTTTATCTCGTAATACTCCTCTATTCAACTACCCGATATTATTCCTAAAATTTTATCTAAAATAATAAAACAAACGGACCCTAAATGTCCAGACATGAAAAGCTTTTGCTATTACTCCGAAGATTCATTAGACGGCCTTGGAACCACTTGGTGCCTTGCTTGCAAACAACACCACGTGATTAGCGACCCTCCCAAACTGTTGTATTAGCTGACCCAAATATCATATGCTTATTAAACGATCCAACAAATATGGGTCCATGTTTTTAGAGTGGTTTGAACCCTGAGTGTATTGCTCAATAGATCTTGAATCTGAATCTTTACAACTACTAATAAAGGATAATCATTAAAGGTTTATCTGATCATTAATTTTAAAGCTCTGAGAAATTAGTTGAAATACGTATAAATTAGCTCGAACATCTTTGAATTAAAAAAAAAAAAAACCGTGAGATCAGGTAAGCTTGCTAAAGGCGCTGCCAAGTAAACAATGAAACTGCTTATTAACCTTCTATTTAAGAAAATTCTAGTTATGCTGAAGTTAACAAAGAGTGAGTGGAAAGGCTTATATCCAGAGCCCAACATATTTGGATTTTCTAGAAAATATTGAATGAGAACTATTGACCAACTTCAGACTCTTAAATTGGGCTCAGCACAACTTGACAGTTAGGTTCTTGCTTATATAATTAAAAACTTCCAAATGTGATTACTTTAATCTCTAAAATTTGATTTTTGATTTAGAATTTAGATAAAACTTCTAATCTAATTCAAGTCCTAGATAATATCAAATTAAAAAATTTATTTATATTTAGAGGGTGTTTGGATATATTTTATTATAAGGGATATTATATGAACAGAATAAAAAATCACCTTGCAGATTTCTGTGAATGTTTAAAAATAAATTATTGAATAATAGATTTGGTAAGGAGGATAAATTGGTGAGTATGTTATTTATATTATTAAATTCTCCTCTTTTTTAAATATTGATATAATAATAAATTTTATTAATAATTTTTTTAACTCCTACTTTTCAAATTTAGCAAAAACACTTTAGCAATCAAAAACGTTTTAAACTTAACAAAAACACCCCAAGCCACTGTTAGTAGCCAGCCACCACCGTCAACAGTCGTCAATAGTGCCACAGATCTAGTTGTGACGCCGATATTGCCATAGATCTGACCATGGTTGTTTCAAGGCCAAAGATGTGTTTGAAACAGCCACAAATTTAGCCTTGAAATGGCCAGGTCTTTGGCAATGAAACGCCGATTGTTTCACAGCCATAGATCTAGCCTTGAAATGGCCAGGTCTTTGGCAGTGAAACGGCAGCCGTTTCACGGCCAAAGACCTGGCCATTTCAAGGCCAGATTTTTGGCTATTTCACGGCCACAATCTGTGATCCATAGTCGAAAAAGGTCTCATCGGCGCACGATCGACCATATACGGCCAATCGTATGCCATTATGACGACTTTTGACAGCCTTCAGCAGCGGTCCACAATGACTGGCAGTGGTAGCTAGTTTTGAGTACAATGACATTTCTGTAAATAATGAAAATAACAACGACAATGTCGTCCAAAAAATTTAAAAAGTGAAGACAAAAAGATGTACATGAGTGAATTGAGTGTTTTGTAAATTTTAACTAATATAACGTTAATTTGGATCAAATGCTCAACTGTTTAGGGGTAATATGGGAAATAAAATTATATTACCTTGGGTAAGTTTTAATAAAAACCACCTAGGGTATTAAGATTTTTGACAATTTACCCTTCAAATGTCACTATTTGTCATAAAATATTTTAAGAATATTTTTTTACAAACCAATCAAACATCATCATCTACTCAATTTAAAAAATATTAGTTCGGATATCTAATATTAGTCTCGTCCAGTCGTCCCCTTGAAGATAAAATAATGTAAAATAAATGGTATGTCTTTCAATTTCCTCACTATTTGTTATCTTGATTTTTGCCATGACCCTTTAAAGCAATTGCGTCATGTGTTACGTCAACTTTTACACTGTCTATTTTATATATGAATAAATGTTGTCCTTTAATTTTAATATGTCCTCCACATTTTCAGTATTTTTAATCACACCCCTTCAGCATCATAATTGAGTATGTCACACAACACAACCACAATAATATTGTCACAACCAGATTATGTGACAAAACCACCCCTATAATCATTTTGAATCTTTGATATTTATAAATTTTAATCATAAATTTTTTTTGGTAGAATATCTTAAAAAAAAAATTTGTATTTATCTAAAAGACTTAAACCACCTAGGAATTTCAAAAATAAAGAAAAACTAGTAAAACAATAAGAAGAGAGAGGGTAGTTTTGTAATTTGGAGAGTTTTAGATGACAAAACCTGCAGTTTCCTAGTTGTTGAAAACAAAGAGAGGAAACAAAGAGAGGGAGGGGAAACTGAAAAAGCGAGGGATTTTGTGTGTTGTGTTACGGCGGTTGACGGCTCTCTTTTTTTCCTTCATGAATTGGATTTGATCCGTTCTGAGTTTATACATTTTATTTTAGTTAATCAAACCCTAATGTATTCTTCTTGTTTTAATTAGGTTAATTAATTATTATTTTTAATTAATTAACCAATTAAAATATACTTTATTAATGTGTTCTGTTATTCAGATTAAAATCTTGAGATTCTGTTTTTAACCTAAAAACCCTACTTTGAATGGCCATGACGGCTGATTCTACTGCCAATCATCACTCTCCACGTGGCTCGGGATTCTCCGGTGACGGTCTTTCTAGCCCTCAATTACGGCGCAAGAATTTGCCCTCGCCGTGGGCTCAGGTTGTACGAGGCGAGCCGGAATCAGTTTCAGCGGCTGTTCAACATTCTTCCCCATCGCCATCACCGCCACCGCCGCCGCTGACTTCTATATCTGAGTCAACCGATAACTTATCTTCCTCGAAGGTGGCTTCAGCGTCATCATCTCCGCCGCCGGATAATTCTATGGCTGCTGAGAACTTGGATGCTAATAACAGCAATGCGGCTCGCCCAAAGAAGCTGGCGTGGATCAAGCCATCAAACGGCGTCGTTGAGATTGGTCCTGTCATGGGAGCTGTTTCTTGGCCCGCGTTATCTGAATCCACTAAGCCTTCCCCAAAATCATCAGTAGCGGACTCCTCTTCTTCAAAAACCCTTTCTGATGGATCAGTTTCTAATAATCAGGTTCTGTTCCTATTTTTTTATTAATTTCTGTTTGGTTTCGAGAAAATACATAAATAAAAATATAATCTGATTTTTTTCTTTCTAGTACGTGGAACTTGCCTAATTAGGGTTTTTCTAGTCTATAATCAGCTATTGAGAAATTCAAGTTCTTTGGAGAACTATGGCGATAACGATTATTCGACATAGTTTGTTTCATTGATATTGACAGTTTTTATCGTCCCCATGAACGATGATTGATATTGTGTTTATAATAGGTGCCTGTAATTCCACATTTACCTCCGAAGCTCACTAGTCCTAACGCAAACCCTAGTTCGAACACAAATCGCACAATGTCAGCTCGACAAAGGTCGAGGCGCGGTGGCGGTGCAACCAGCTCTGGGGGTGGCCCTGCACAGACTGCTTTCACTCGGTCTCCTCAGCCACCTCCGCCACCTCCACCACTACCACAAGCATTCCCAATTGCAATGTCTCCAAATGGTGTTGGGAATCTTGTGCAGGCGTTTCCAGATCCTTCTCCAAGAGAGCCCCTATATAGAGGCAATAACTGGGAAACCAGAGCGGTGGGAGGATTTGTGTCGCAATCACATCCTTTGAATGAGCACCGCAATTCTTCACGGAGAGGTAACTATGGACCGCGTGGAGATGGTACTTACCATAACAATTATGGCAGTAGACGGGATCAAGACCGTGGAAATTATGCAAATGCCAGAGATGTTCATCTGCAGCAGCAAAGAGGTCCTCCGAGGGGCTTTGTTAGGCCTCCACCACCCACTGCTGGCACATTTGTACCACCTCAACCTATTAGACCTTTTACAAACCCCATTGCGTTTTCTGGTAAGTTTACTTTCCAAGGAATGTGTGCTTTTGGTTCTTATGATAGAATGTTGAAATGTAACATCTTATTCTTTCAGATTTCATATATCTCCATCCACATATGGAGCCCTTCAGGCCCTTCATGACTGCACCAATGCTTATGCCTGTTGCAGAACCTCCTCTGCAGACTATGTTAGTCCGTCAGATTGATTATTATTTCAGGTATTTTGATATTTTTGTTTTTCTTAGCGATGCTAAGTTAGCTTTAGTAATTGAGTTCCGTTCTTCTTTGATATGTTGAAAATACAACTGTGATTTACCCACTGCATGCTTGTTGTAGTGATGAGAACTTGGC